AGTGCAAAGAGAAGAGATCTTCCTATGGTTCTTGTTTTTCCAAATGAGATGCACAACACTCTTTTTATAGGCACTTCCACGGATGTAATGGTTAAATTAAAAATAAATAGCAATTTTAAAAACTTGCACACGTAACAAACATTTTCATACAATTTAATTTGCATAATATATAATGCATTAATCACCATTATGTAATTTAAAATTTGAATTGCATAATCACCATGTATTATTAATCATTGCATATAATAGTGACTTCCATGCATGTATTCCAAAAACCCTCTATGCATGCATCGTGTGTATCAACTCAACCATAAGTTGTATAATGCATTATGCATGCAATTATATTTAAAATGCATTATATATTCATGCATGCATGCATTCAATTTGGGGCTATTTATTGGTATATAAATTTAATTTCTTGGGTTTTAGATTTGACAAAATATATTTGTCATTTTATTAAGCTTCTGAGCACAATGGATTATATTAATCCATTTATTTACCAAACTCAAGTCCAAGCACAAATCCACAACCATATTATCTAGTTCAGGCAGGCGGCGCGCCTATGTCGACCGGCATTCACATGCCTAATAACCATATTATAATTTATCTGCATTTCAACTCAGCGAATAATCGGTTTCGAATATTATGAATTTAATTTATAAATTAAATTTTATCGATTAGATAAATAATCGATTAACCGATTATCCAACAAATTCAAACAATTTTTTTTCCAAACTGATCAAAAGAAACACACACCCGGTAAACAATATTTAATGTACTCCTTCCGTCCCATAAGTAAATATCCATTTGCTTTTTGCACGTAGTTTTAAAAATATTAGTATTATATTGGGATATAGTAGGAATAAAGTAGAAATGACTAAAATAACTTTATTAGTATGCGTGATATAAAAGTAATGATATTTGTGTAATATATTATAAGTTGCAAGAGTATTTGTAATATTAGATAGATTATACAGTTACTAAAAAAAAGGATATGAATATTTTGTTATGAGACAGACTAAAATGACAAAATGAATACTTTGTTATGGGACGGAAGGAGTATATGGTATTGTTCCACAACACTATTTTGTTGAATGGTGTTAACACATGTCGGATGATGTAAAATACCATTTTTATAGAAAAATGATGTCAAATTGAATTGGTCTCTATTGCTAAATTGAATGACCTTAATGTGATACTTCAATTGAGTAATTAAATGTTATGAAATTCCTAAATTAATGATTTAACATTAGGTCTGGATTGCATTAACGTGCTATAAGAAAAATAGGAAAAATCATCAACAATGGTGAAAAGATATAACCATCAATAGTTTCTAGATAAAATGGTCTTAAATATTAACATGAAAAAGATAAATTGAGCATCAAAAGTTTCACATGATTAGAAACTTTAAGCTATTTTTGCTTAGCCTTATAACATGAGTCACAAATGACGGGATAAAAATGAATTATTTCTTTATTTTTAAAGTGGATTATTATTATTATTATTATTATTATTTTAATGATGTGAGAACCCGCAATCGCTACTCGAAAGTGCGCACTGAATAAATGGATAAATGTCAAAGAAGAGTTGAGGTGACATGACAAATGCTAGGAGAATGATGATACTCTTGCATAAAAAAGTCATCAAACAACGATAGACCTAAAAAACTTTAATTACCGTCTAGTCCAAAAAGGATGATTTACTAGTGTGAGATTGAACTTGTGATCGTGAGATCGTGTGTTAAAAATTCAGACCTTATAATTGCAGATGTCGAGGTGGCAAACTTCTATATCGGAATTCCCACATCCAACGGAGAGGACTTTCTTCCCGTCATAGGCGCTGCTGTTCTCTTAGCCGTTGGTGTGGACGATATCACCGTTGAATTCCTTTATCCCGAGAATCGCTGACGTAACTGCCTCGACATTCTCTCAGATGACGACAATCAATCTTCAGCAGAGCTACTGGAATACAACGGCCATCTATACCTGCCACCACCCCAAGCTCCTATTGAACTCCGATGTCTCCAACTCTTGTTTGAAAATCGGCTTGATTCCGATCCGTCACGCGTATTCCTTAAGATGTCATCTCAGCTCCGATGTGTCCATGTCAATATTTTCCTTTAGAGTTTTAATAGTAGGATTTAAACTAATTAGAATTATTTATAAATAACACCAAAATTGATCATTTTTTTTTTTTTTTATATTGAGATCAAAACTAGTATTTTTTTTTTCAACAGAAGTATTTGTTTTTTCCTTTTAGTTATTTCTCTCATTCCATACAACTGTACTATTTCAGATTTTTGTAGTAATAAATTTAAAAATAATACTAATATTTTATAAGTTAGTAGAAGTGTGTAAAATAATTTTTATATTTTTGTCATTTGTATTATATATATATGTAATAATATATTTATAATTTATATAGAAATTAAAATATTTTAACATTAAGGTGTGGTTTATCAAGTAAAGATTAGAAATGGTATAAGTTAAAGGAAAGAAAAAGAAAATAGAAAAATTATTCTAAAATATTGGAGTTTCAAGTTTTTTTTTTTTTTTTTAAAAAAAAATTAATTTAATTTTCAATGGTGTTGAGATATGAAGCCTAATTATATCCTAAAATTTAGGAATATGATTTAGATATTATATTCTAGATTTTAGAGATATGATTTGAATATTATTGGCATACGTTTAGCCTATAAATATCCATTTATTCTCACTTTAACATGTGTTTGCGTTATAGTAAAATTTATGGCTTGGTAGCGCCCCCAGATGTAGATCATTCTAATCGAACCGGGTTACCAAATTCTTGTATTATTGTGTATTCTCTTCTTGATTTCCTGAAATTTTCGTAACAAGTGATATCAGAGTCTGGTTCGTTCGTAATGTGGATTGAGAGACATCGAATATTGATTGTGGCCGTGGAAATCCCTTGTGACCTGTAGAGGTCCCTTGTGTCGAAAGTCTCATGACGGTGGCGGTATAACGGTGGCAGTGTTGGGTCGGTCCCGACAATTCTTGTAGGTTAGGTAGTGGGTCCCTTTGTGATAGACGGTACAAAGTGGGCATGGAAGGATAAGGGTTTCGACAAACGCAGCGGAGGAGATATCCGATGTGCTCTCATATCAAGTGAGCCTTAGGTTTGTTTGTGGAAGTCAAGATGAGTGATCGTCGTGCTGTCAAGGTATTCGATGGGATGAACTTCAGTTTCTGGAAGATGCATATAGAAGACTATCTGTGTGGTAAAGATCTAGAGACGGCGTTGAATGAGAAACCCGAAGACATGGATGAAGTCGAATACAAGAAGATCGATAGGAAGACGATAAGTGCGGTTCGACTAACCCTTTAGAAGAATGTCTCGACTGAATTTGGATATGGGTCTGCCCTTAGTGCAGGCAAAGGGAAATAATGATGATCAAGAATGGTCAAAGTTGAAGTCGAAGAACAAGGACAAGGAATATGCAAGTCAGGTGGTATGTTGGAACTGCAAGAAACGACAGTGCAAGGCGCCGGAGAAGGATAAAGGTTCGGAAAACACAGCGGAGGAAATCTTCGATGCGCTGATTATGAGCGTCAGCAGTCCAATGGATTTATGGATTTTGGTCTCAGGAGCATCATTCCACTCATGCAGTGACTCGGGAATCATGGAATCTTATACCGCATGTAATTTTAGTGTTGTTTATCTTGCAGATGATATGACACTGAAAATTGTAGGTAAAATAATGATTCAAATTAGAACACCAAATGGTGGGGAGTTGAGACTGAATGACGTGAGCCATGTCTCGGGTCTGAAACGGAATCTGATTTCCATAGGACAATTGGATGAGATCTGCGGGAAAGGGTGAGAGAGACCTGAAAAAGGAAAAGTTGGAATTGGTTCATACGGACCTGCGGGAACTAGCTTTTGTATCGACCCTTGAAGGCTCAAAATACTACACCGTGGTCATTGACAACGTTACAAAGAAGGTATAGGTATATTTCTTTAAGTGTAAATATGATGCTTTTGATAACCTCTAGGAGGTGGAAAACACGTGCAGTTGGAGTAGTGAGCCGATATATGAACAATCCTGAAAGACAATCTAAGGTGGTGGCCTTAGATGAATTGAAGTTGTATTCAACCTTAAGTGGCTTCGATGAGTGAAGAAGGAGGCTTAGCGCTGTTGTTGCCGATGAAGTAAAATGGCTTAGCGTTGTTGTTGCCGATGAAGTAAAATGTTATATGAAAGATGCAATCAGTCTTCAAATGAGAGATTGTTAGGATATGAAGTTTGATTATATCTTAAAATCTAGTTATATGATTTATATACTCCCTCCGTCCCAAAAGAGTTGTCTTGTTTTTCCATTTTCGTCCGTCCCAAAATAATTGTCCTGTTTCCTTATTTAGTAATCGTGGTCCCCACTTTATAACAAAATTATTCATACTTTTCCAACCTACCCATAATTATTACTCTAATCTATTTTTTAAAATCTTTCAAAAAGTAAGGACATTTTAGTCTTTTATATTCTATTTTATACCCACTTTCAATTAAATACTATTATTTCTTAATTTTCGTGCCAACTTTCAACAAGACGTTTCTTCTGAGAGAGGGAAGGAGTATGATTTAGATATCACAATCATAAATTTAGATATTTAAATTATATAAATATAATCAGACTTATTAAATAATTAATAATTAATTAAATTTAAAAAAAATTATTTTGTTAACAGTTCCATTGACATATTGTAATTAGACTTAAAAATACAGGTCAAAATGAAAATGGATTACTTTTTTCTTAGAACCGAAGAGGGCATTTTGGGCAATTCATATTTCAGAAGTTATCACAACTCGCTGAGTCGATCGAAAACCAGAACGGAAAAACTACAGACACAGAAGAAGCACAACTCGGTCACGATCCGCGTGAAATAGACACAATTAATCACAGCCGTTCATTTTGAAATACGGACCAATGAAAATCGTTATAAGCATTAGTCTTGGATCCTCGTCTCCGAATATTCCTTTTGAAGCCGTTGGAGTCCAAGTCTGCGTTTTTAAAAACCGACTTAACCTAGATTCCCTTCCTATATATTACTCGCTTCCGTCTCATTCTAGCCTACTTTCGGAAACATATTCTCCGCAGCCTTGGGTGTCTCTATCGTTTCGCTCAGAGATTCTGATAAGGTATAAATCGGTGTCAACGTTGTGTCGCGGTGCTATGTTTTTCAATTGGAGTTTGTAGATTTGATTTTTTGGTTTCGTTGAAATTTTCAGTGAATTTGATTTGATTGAATTTCGTAAAGGATGGCGTCGCGGTGCTCTGTTTTTCAACTGGAATTTTTAGATCTGATTTTTTGGTTTCGTTGAAATTTTCAGTGAATTTGATTTGATTGAATTTCGTAAAGGATGGCGTCGCGGTGCTCTGTTTTTCAACTGGAATTTTTAGATCTGATTTTTTGGTTTCGTTGTAATTTTCAGTGAATTTGCTTTAATTGAATTTCGGAAAGGATGGCGCGTACGAAGCAGACTGCTCGCAAATCTACCGGAGGAAAGGCACCGAGGAAGCAGCTGGCAACTAAGGTTTGTGGTACAATTGAATTAACATCTAGTTTTGTTTGATTCTGTTATCTTTTGGTTTCCATGGAAATCTCGGGTTTATGTACATGTTAGATTTGTTTAATTCTATATTTACTGATATGGCGTCTGCAATTGTTTGATTTTTGAAGGCTGCGAGGAAATCTGCGCCGACCACCGGAGGAGTAAAAAAACCTCACCGCTACCGCCCTGGAACCGTCGCTCTTCGGTAAATCCTTACATCCTTTAGTTCCAGTTGCGAAGTATCCTTACGAACGTCGATCAAATTATTAACTGTACTAACGATGAATCCTGGATCAATACAGTGAAATCCGTAAATACCAGAAGAGTACTGAGCTTCTGATCCGCAAGCTGCCATTCCAGAGACTCGTCCGTGAAATTGCTCAGGATTTCAAGACAGATCTGAGGTTTCAAAGTCACGCCGTGCTGGCGCTCCAGGAAGCCGCCGAAGCATACCTTGTAGGTCTCTTCGAGGACACCAATCTGTGCGCAATCCACGCTAAGAGGGTTACCATCATGCCAAAGGACATTCAATTGGCAAGGCGCATTCGTGGGGAGCGAGCTTAATTGTTCTTGGAGGAACACGAATTTGTTCTAGTAGTTGTGGTAGCTCTTAGTTAGGTTAATAGGAACCTTTGTTCTTTCTCCTTCCTCTATAAGCTCTGATGGTAGAGCATATCAAGCGTATTTGAAAAAATAGCTACTACTCCTCCATCTGTAAAGCAAATTTCTACTCTCCTATAGCTGCATGTTGTGTTGCGCAGATGATTGATTTGTATTTTGATAAATTCAAATCCAAACCTGATCATAATTGCTTTCTTGAATCTTGTTTTTCAATTTTGAGCTTCGAATTGATCTTAGCAGCTCAACTTTTGCGGATTCGTCGATCTTCTCTGCAGTTCTCAAGGTATGTTTGCCGATTCTGTTTCTGTGGGCACAGGAAGTGCTTAGGGCCAAGAGCTTTGATCATCTTGACTATCCTCCAATCATGGTGGTTGTAGCTGCTCTGCTAATTTGGGTATGTCTCTGATTCCTGTTTTCAATCACTGCATTGTTATTATTACTGATTCTGAAAATTTAGCAGGATGGATCAAATTTGTGTTATGTTTTGGATGGGTTTAATGTTACTTGTGACACTGTCATGCCTTCACTTTCATTATATAACGTTAGAATAGTGTATCTGATTGGGGTGAAACATACATAAATGCCATGTGGGGTTTTTTTCTTTTTATTGGATTCAAGAAAGATTAGATTGTCCATTGTATCTGTTGTCTAATTGGAGTCTTTGCATTGAGTAAAACTTTTACTTTCAGACTTTCTCTTTATGTAGTTCGATACAATTCAACTTGGCTTTGTTAGTGTTAGCAACGGTATTTTTATTACATACGTTATTGATTTTTGTTCAATGTCTTTGTGGCTTGCATAATGAATTAGGGCTTTTGAATACTTGAAAGCTTAGAGCAATTTGATAGAACATGGGTTCATTTTCAAGCATGTTCTGATAGGATTTTGAAAGTTGAATGAATTTTAATAGTTCGAGGACCCTTCATATAAGATAAAAGTGTAAGGGTGTGAAACTTGGAAATAAAGAGACAAATTATGTGATTTTTATTATATATATATATATATATATTTAAAAAAATAATACCTATGTGTACGAGTTGTTAATTAGTAGATAATTAAAAATATATTAGTAAAAATAATTATATTATAATATAAATAATTATAAATTAAAATTAATATAATTAATTATTTTAATTAAAAATTTTTTAAAAAAAATTAAAAAGTTTAAAATAAGATTAAAGTGTGTAATAGTGATATGGTAGTGGGATTGACTGTAATGTAATGTGGATATGGTATGTGGGATGGAAGAAATATTAAATTAAATATTTATTTAATTTTTTATTATTTAAAAATCCAAATATTAAGTGAAGATGCTAATATTTTTAAGGATTACATTTCTATGCAATCCAATGTTTATTTTTAAGGATAATTTCTACTAAATTCTCTAATTTTAATTCTTTTTGTTATTTTTACATATAATCTTTAATTTTTACCATATAATTTAATTTTTTACTATTAAAAAAAAAATAAATAGATAACAATATGAATAATAAATAATTATAAAATATATATATATTTGTAACTTTTAAAAAATAATACAAATATTTATAAAAAATATATACTTAAATTTACAAATATTGTTAAACAATAAGTAGATTAATTATATATATATATTTCAATACTTACAAGTAAATTACATATATATATATATATATTTTTTCAAAAGTTCATAACTATTAAATTTTATTACAAGATATTTATAAAGAATATTAATCTTTAATTGAATAAAATATAAATAAGTTAATGAATATGTACTTTGAACAGTATTATTTATCGTCATTTTGTGAAAAATGAAATAATAAAATTGATCATTGGTTACACAAATTAAGGGTTTTGAGTTATATTAGGTATATAGAATTATAAATAAAATATTATTTTGAAGGCAAAATTGAAAATTTATAGGTGAAAGTATATAAAATATTAAATAGGGAATCGTGAGGAATAAATAGGAAGTTAAAATAAACAAATATATAAACAGGACTGACAAGAAAATTAATTTGCAAAATAGGAATTTTAAAAGAATTAACCGTATTTTTAACTGTTATAGTATCCAACAATTTTATTTTCAATGGGTAATATATGTCAATAATGAATACGAGGAAGAGTTGGATTGTTAATTGATAAAAATTTATGTCAATAATGGAATACTCCCTCCGTCCCATAACAAATTATTCATTTTTTTCATTTTAGTCCGTCCTATAAAAAAGTATCTATTTTTTTTTAGTAACTGTACTATCTGTCTAACATTACAAATACTCTTAAAACTTACAATATATTACATAAATATCATTACTTTTATATCACATATACTAATAAGGTTATTTTAGTCATTTCTATTTTATTTTTACTATATTTTAATATAATACTAATATTTCTAAAATTACGTATAAAAAACAAATGAATACTTACTTTTGGGACGGAGAAAATATGAGAGAAGCTCGTGATAACGTCAATGGAGAACATATAGAGTTGTAAAGATTCCAAAGACACCCTTTGGAGAACATATGTAGAGTTGTAAAGAGGAATGCATAGACACCTTTTGTTTTGGGGGTTTGAATTTTGAATTGGTATTTGAATAGTAAAAATTTTGAATTTGAATAATGGTATGATGTGATATGAACATGTGTTGATGTGATGTTTTGAATGAAAAATTGATTTTAGTATAATATAAAAAATAAAAAATAGAAATCTAACGATGTTTATGGTGGAAAAAAATGAAATGAATAGTGCATTTAAAATTTATTCCCTCAAACAAACACACCCTAATGATTGTTTTTCTAATAATTTGACATGCATTTTTTTTTTTTTTTGGTACTCTAGATACATGCAATAATGTTAATATACTTGATTGATCTTCGGTATTTAACGTTATTTTGAATACATTTTGATGATTACTTAGGTTTGACTGAAGATTTATTAGCAAGCTCGAAGAGTAGCATTGATAGATTATTATTTTGTAAAAAAAAATAATGGTATTACATCATGACTTATTCTTCTATCTTGTAATTTATGATTAGATTCAAATAAAAAGAATGAAAGTGACTCTTTACTTTTATAAATTAAGGGAGATCCATACCGGATCAACCCTTCGTCTGTATAAACTAAGGCAACACTTTTCTCCTTCGAGATGGTAATCTCGAAAATTCATAGATAATCAATATTCAATACAATTTAAAACTGTGAAGTGATGACCATTCACCCTTATAAATAGGGGTGAACAAAATATTCGAAATCCGAAAATTCAATTCGAATCAAACCAAAATTAAAATTTGATTCGGATTTTTTGGATTTTCAGATTGGATCGGATTGAATTTTTAACAAATTTCAGATTTTCGGATCGGATCGGTATACTTAAAATCCGAACCAATCCGAAATATACTATTTTAATATATATTTTTTATTATACATATTTAATATTTTATTAGAAAATATTATATTTTAATATAAAAAACTCAAATTTATTAATTATATTTTAATATATTTAATTTTTATATATTATATATATATATATTTAATATTATAAAATAATAATAAAATATAAAAGAATTTAAAAAATTTTTAAAAAAATAATAAAAATATTTAGAATTTCGAATTTTTCGGTTTGATTCGAATTTTTTAGTTCGGATTACGGATTTTCGGATTTCGGATTTCGGTTATTTCGGTTTGATTCGAATTGATTTTTTCAAAAATTTTGAATTTTCGGATCGGTTCGAATTTTGTCAAATTCGAACCGAAAATCCGAATACTAACCCCTAATTATAAACCAAGAGAGTTTTCAGATATTTAACAATATGAAATAATATTCAATTATATTCAATAGAGTGAGACTTTTAGTGCACCAAGTGTTGGCCAAGTGCATTGATTTTTATTTTATTTTTATAAGAAAGGCTATTGTGTAAACTTTTTTTGGGATCTGAAAAATAACACACTTTTTTACTGTGTTGAAAGCCTTCTATTTTGAGGCTAGTACAGTTGCTCTTAGTGACATGCATGACATTCACCTTATTGATTTTTCATAAACTATTTAAAATTTTTGTAATGTTTATATATATAAAAAAAATTGATATTTTTTTTTTTTAAATAAAATTTATTAAATCAAAATATATTTAACATATAAATTAACTTGATTAACTAGATAATACATAACACAGTAGAACTATTCAAAAGAATTTTATTTCTATTTTTTCCAAAAATTTTATAAATAAATAATTCTACGTTTAAAACTTTCTCTTTTGTATTAGTTTATATTAATTATAAATAAATAAAATTATTTTTTATTTGTTTGTATTATAAAAAATTTTATTATTTACTGAATGATATTTATATTGCATATATATTTTTTATTACAATATAATTTTTAAAATTATATATTATATTAAATTTACTTTAAAAGTATCAATATTATTAATTACATAAAAAATAATATCATAACTCATTATTGTTAACTAATTAAACATCATTTCGTTAAATATCGTGTTACTAATGAAAGAGGCAATTATCTTTTATTTTTTACTCATTTTTTATAAATTACAAAATATTTATGCTATATATATTTTCTTTATTTTATTTTAAATATTGCTGAGTAAAAACAATAATTACAATTCAAAATTTTGCTATTAGTATATTTTGGTTTAATATTATTAGATTAAATCAATTGAAAAGTTTGCTTAAGGAAACATTTATGATACATGAGTATATTCTAAATATTATGTAAAGTATAAAAAATTGTACTCCCTCCCTCCGTTCACACACAAAGTATACATTTATTTTTGGCGCGGTGTTTAAGAAATAATAGTATTTTAATTATAGTGAGTAGTTAAAAGTAGTATAATGATATTTTTGCCCTTATTTTTTGGTGTAAAAGTAACGATGTGATGTAAAATAAGAGTATTTGTGAAAAAAAGTGAGGTATTTAATGAAATATTTATTTTGTAATTTGACGTCCCAAAATAAAAACATGTATACTTTCTAGCTGGACGGAGGGAGTATAAGAAATATAAAAATAATAAACTTGTGTAGTGTATTAATTTTTTAAGAAAAAAAAATATCTATTCCCATAACAAAGTATCCATTTTTTCATTTTAGTATGTCACATAACAAAGTATCCATTTCTTTTTTTTTTAGTATCTGTACTATCTACCTAACATTACAAATACCCTTACAACTTACAGTATACTACACAAATGTCATTACCTTTATATCACACAATATTAATAAGGTTATTTTAGTCATTTCTACTTTATTCATACTACATCCCAATATAATACTAATATTTCTAAAATTCTATACAAAAAGTAAATTGATACATAGTTATGAGACGGAGGGAGTAAATTCTAACGTACTTAAAATATCACTATCTTCGTCCACTTAAAAAATATGCATTTACTTTTTAATATTAAATTTAAAAAGTATTGTATTTAAATGATATTAGTTCGATATTTTTGTATGTAAATTTTTTTTTTTTGTCATTTTATTTTAATTTAATATTATATAACAATATTTATGTAAGTATAAATTTTAAAATATTTATATTATGCAGTGGATAAAACTTAAAAAATGTACACCTAATGTTTAAATAGATAAAAAAAAAAACAACAATATATATCTCTTTTTAAACGAATAGGATAAATATTAAATACATTTAGAAAATTAATATGAATGTGTTTGTTTGGGGGTTTGGATTTTGAGTTGGGATTTGAATAGTAAAAATTTTGAATTTGAATAGTTGTATGATGTGATATAAATAGGGTTTGATGTGATGTTTTGAATGTAAAATTAATTTTGAGTATAATATAAAAAATAAAAAATAGGTGTTTAATTTGATATTTTTGGGAAAAAAAATTAGATGAATAGTAGAAGTCCACCAAAATCCTTCAAACAAACACACCTTTATGACTTATCAATAAAAGCCACAATTATAATTAGCATTCCAAGTATGTTTTTCATTAAATTATAATCCAAATATAATGTATTGTTAAAATAAAAGTTTTGAAGTTCTTTTAAAAAAATTAAAATTAATAAAAAAATCAAATATTTTATACGATATTTTGTGAGAGAAAACAAATATTGATAGGATATTATTACAAAAATTAGTATAAATAAATAGTAGTATTAAATTTTAGGGTGTGTTTGTTTTGGGGATTGGATTTTAAATACACTATTCATCTCATGTTGTTTCTCTAAAAATATCAAATCAAACACCTATTTTTTATTTTTTATATTATACTAAAAATTAATTTAACATTCTAAACGTAATATCAACACCTATTTATATCACATCATACAACTATTCAAATTTAAATTTTTTAGTATTCAAACCCTCAAACAAACACACTATAAAAGTATTTACATGAATAAATCAAAATCGTAATTCTATATGCATTGAATTCTACCCACAAAATAATAATATTTATGTCCAAGCAATAAGTATATATTTTATTTTTGGCTTAAAATTTAAGAAATAATAATTTTTTTAATTATAGTGGATAAGTAAAAATAGTTTAATGATATTTTTGCCCTTGCTTAGTATAAAAATAATGATGTGATATAAAATAAAAATATTTGTTGGACCTCTGAAAATAGAAATATGTATACTATGTAGCTGGATGAATAATGATAAAAAAAATTATAGAACAAGAATACATGTATTTTATTCCTCTAAATTTAGAAAAATATACTTCCTTCGTCTCATAAGAAGGATACTATTTTCTATCTTTGTTCGTCTCAAAACAAGAATACTATTTTTTAATTTAGTAATTGTACTACCTACTTTAACCTAATAAATACCCTTACAATTTACAATATGTTATCATCACTTTTATAATACACCATACTAATAGGGGCATTTTCATATTTTTTATTATAAACTAATACTCCATCCGTCCATTTATAATTGTCCTAAAATATATTTGTACGATTTTTTAGGTAATTATTTTTAGGGAGACTTGGACTAAAATCCCTGTCAGTGTATTTTGCTTGCAATTCAGTCCCCATTGTAAATTAATTGATCTGCAGTCCCTACTTTATTGATTAGATATGTTATAACTCCCTTCTTGTATTTTCTACTCAATCACCATTGTATATGCAACATGTACTTACGATTGATTAATAAATACTCCCAATTTTATAATATATACCTACATTACCTCCCGCTCTACCCCCAGTATACGATTAGATAATTCCATTTAAATACTGCGTACCTTATTTTGTGATTTTTTTTTAAAAAAAAATCACAGAAAATATGCACGATTTAAAAACTGAAACATTCCCTAACTTCCCTCACTCACTCTCCGTTCAAGCCCTAGTTCTTCGAGAAGGAAATCGTCCCTCGCGAACTCGACGACGATCAGCAGTAAGACATTTTGTTCAGCGAAATGGTGAGAAAAACCGCGAATCCGCCGCGATCCCCCACGAGGAGTTCAAAAAAGTAAGTGTCTGGTCGAAACCCTTTTCGTTTTATGATTTTGTTGACAATCGAATTTTATATCGTAGTTTACTCGATTGTTTGGGGTAGAAGCCTTGGTCCCGTGTTTGTATGCCTCGGTTTAGTGATGAGGAGCCCTGGGTGTTCGGTGTTGTGTTAGTTCAACGGGTGGTTTGAAATTGTTCGAATTTTTGGCCAGGAAACCCGGTTCGGCCGATTTTGGGTGATTTTATCTGTTTTTATCTTTGATTTTGTTAATTTTGGAGATGTATATTTTGTTTAGTTACTCGAAGTTGCATATTTTAGGTTTTTTGGTGGATTGTTCGGTAAATAGTCATATTTGTGGGTTGATAAATGCGGTAATATTAGGCACCAGGAGTTTCATTTGTTTGGTCTAATTTGCCAATTAATATACCTGAACGGCACTGTATACTCGGAATGCGTTTTTACTCCTGCTAAATTGTGAAAAACTTTTAACTAAATTAGAGATTTGGGTAACGTGGACTTATGGTTTTTACTTACAGGCCAGGCAAGGAGCACAAATCGGTGATCAGCCGATTTGCATTACCTTTTTTTCATAATGAGCTGGCCAAACTGAAGCAACACATGAGAGACCAACACATCGCAGCTATAAACATGACACCATTCGGGCATTTTCTGGATTGCCCGAAAATGAAGTTTCCATGGCACCGACTTGTTGCCCTCGTCAATAGCTTCAGTTCGGAATCTATGTCCTTCAAGATTGGAAGTGACATTGAGCTTCCGTTTGAAGTTGAAGAATATTCTGTAGTCTTAGGACTACACGCGAAAGGAGTCTACGTGACCGAAAATACATCGGTCGAAAGCGAATGGTTTGTTCGAATTTTTGGGAGCAAGCCACGTTCTGTAACCCGCGGGCAGGTGTTGCAGAAGCTGCGTGAGGCTCTGTTGCAGGGGCTGGAGCCTCTTTCTGTTGCGGATGTTGCTCGTCTTTTTATTATGTTTGTTTTTGCAAATATTTTATTTTGTTCTGCGAATTATTCTGTACCCCTTTTTTTGTTACCGTATGTGGAAGACCTGAGTGCGATTGGTGACTACGCGTGGGGACCCGCGAGTCACCGTTATCTGTTGAAGTCTATAAGCGACTTCAAGTCCGGGAAAAAATATTTGACAGGCTGCACCGCGGGTTTGTTGGTAAGCAATGTAATATCGGATTTGTTAATTTTTTCTACTTATTTTGGTATATTGCACAATATGTATTATTGTTGGCAGTAATGTCTATTACAATATGTGCAGGCCTGGTTCAATGAGAGGGTCCCAACTCTGGACAAGGCACGGTGCCTTCCGAAGGTACCGCGTCTCTTTCGGTGGCTGAATAGCCTCGGTCCAATGTCCAGGGTTCATGCAGTTGATGAACTGACTTCCATAAAGCGGTCCGATGTTCAGGAATTCTATCGGATAGGCACGGAAGAAAAGTTCGTTCGTGCAATTTGTCATGCTTCAGAGGTAAATGCATTATTCAATGTTGCTACCGTTGTAAATGGATAAAATAATTTCTTATATGACATTATTAACATATGTTGCAGGAAGCAGCGCAGGAAATTGCGGCTTTGAAGGTGGAGCTGCGGAAGAAAGACACTGCAATTGCCAGACTTGCTAATAAATTACAAAGATCTAGAGCCGGTGTTGTCGATGACGACAGTGAAGGTGAGGGTGAGGACGAGAGCGATGGCGAGGAGGGTGATGCAAACTATGGGGATGAAGAGACAGCAGACCGGATGGCTGTGGAGTCTGAGAGGAAAGAGAAGCAGACTGACATGGAGGAGAAGCAAGGTCAGGAGGAGGAGAGTCAGGGTGAAGAGGAGGAGGAGGAGGAGAAGGAGGAAAAAACTGGGGAGGAGGAGAGGCAGACTGAGGAGGATCCCGAGGAGGCAGCGGAAGAGCAAGCGAATACCGAGCGCCGAAGCAAAAAAAAAATGGACATCCTTTTGGCCGAAGTTGATCCGATAAACGAGTCAGATGACGAAGGGGTTGGTAGCCTGCTAGAGTTTAACCAATTGATGGCCATTGTTCCTTATGTTGCACCGATAGATGTCAAGGTAAGCTAATTAATATAGTAATTACAATTTGTCCGGTCGTAGTTGTCTATCTGTTGAATGATTATTTGCTTTGTTGAAATTGTAGCAGGGCGATGACTCCGACCGTGAGACTTGTAGCAGGGCCGCAGATTCATCGATTGTACGTGGTGTAATGGCACGTAAGGATCGGAAGAGAAAGAAGAAGCCTGAATTCGTGACACCCGTGTCGACACCGCGAATTGAGAAAGCGAGAAGAACACGGAGGGCGAAAGGAAAGTCAGCGGTCGACGTCAATAATGAGCAGGTACGTAGTTCCATACAAATATAAGTCGTCTGGCTCAAAATACTTCAGATAGATTCATAAATACCTAGTGTTTCTGCGTCAATACCTGTACAATAAATACAGATACCTACGGAAACATGATTATCTTAATTGTTGGTTCAGGAACCATTTGTCGTCGGCGACGACGGGGACTCGGATGCTAAGGTTGTAGCAGACCCTGGAGCACAAAAGTGGGAGGGATATCGCAATAACGACAGCTACTGTGGAAAGGGTTCCTTATCTGAGGATGAGACGAACACCATTGAACATTTTCTCGCGTCATTCGCTGTCCGGTATTGCTATTCACTCTTACGGCTTTATATATTTTTCTCAATCAATGTATTTATCCGTTTGCGACTATCATGTTGTAGGGACACTGTATGGCAGCAGGGCGTCGTGTCTGTCTCGGCCGATGCCGTTTTAGAACTACTGTTTGACGAAGCTGTGAAAGGCGAAGTCATCGACGCGTACCTATATCATCTATGCAGCAATGAATATCAGCTCCAACACAATCCGCAGGTGCGGTGTGGTTGTGTGCCATGGTTCGTAGCGGTGAGTATCCTGTTTGGAATTTATACGGTTAGTATTACAAATCACATTGTTATTATTGCGTTGGTTGCTGTGTTCGATTTTCAGAAAGCCGTGAACGACGCGCTATCACGACCAAGCAGGGGAGCGAAAAAGCCGAGCATCAATAAGGGTAATGTACTCGCGTTTGCCAACTCGCTGCAAGTGACCGTAGGCCAAGAGATTGCCGGAATCATGGACAAAATCCGGTCTGGGTGCCGGTACATATTTCTACCCGTACACACCCGGTTCCACTGGCATCTCTGCATACTGGATACCGTCAAACGTGTTGTGTTGGAGTGTAACTCAATGCGCGACCCCTTCGGGCAGGGGAATGCAAAGAAATTGGTACGTCTTTCGAATGATCATAATTAATTGCCTATGGGTAGGGTGAATGCCTTAACGAAAGAGTAACGTTATTTGTGCAGACGCGATTTTTATCGTTGTATATGAACGCGTCACGACTATGGCCTATGGTCAGCGACATGCCCGAGTACATTAGATGCCGACACCAGGGTGAAACGTTGGACTGTGGACCTTTAGTCTGCATGTTCGCAGAGTGTTATGCGCGGGCAGGTCCAGATGTCAATCTCGTTGGTGTCCTCGGCGAGGACTTCGGCGATGTCAAGAGCTACCGAGGCACGATTGCGGCGAGGATATTGAAAGGTCCCCCCTTCTGAAATGTAGACCCCGATGGAAAAATAGGGCAGGTTAACACATGTAATGAATTTGGATTGATTTGGGAAGTTTTTGCGTTGTGTGGCGAGGTGATGGATTTGTTGAATGTCTTCAGTTTGGATTGATCTGGGAAGTTATTGTGTTGTGTGGAGGTGATGGATTTGTTTAATGTCTTCAATTTGGATTGACCTGGGAAGTTATTGCATTGTGTATCGAGGTGATGGAATTGGTAAATGTCTTTTACGTGGATTGATTTGTCATCTTCATTATATACCTGCGTTGTGTGGTGATACCCGTTGATAGCTTTTATGTGCCTACGGAAAACTAGTATGTACTTCTATTTATATATTACATGCTCCAGTCATTTGCGTTTGTGGGACTGGTCATTTCTTTTGCACTGATCACTGAAATAGCGTTCACTTTGAATCAGTTCAACCGTGTCGGCGTTTCTCATAAAACCCTACTGGACGCCATGTTTTAATCGACCGGAGATACTGCAAGGGCTTACTCGTTAATTTAAAACAAACAATACTAAAAAAACTTGATCATATTACAACAAAATATTTGTGCGGGACATAGGTGTCTGGTAATTGCGTGTGGGCCAACGTCTAGATTACAATCAACTATTTCCTGCGGAATGCTAAGCAACACGTGGTTACAGAGAAGTGCTACTATACCTACAACTAGGATACCTACAACTACAACACAGATGCCCACATACGCAATCTGTGTACCTCGTTCAGCGAGTCTGGTACTTAGCTCGGATGCATAAGTAACGGAGTCATTATTACAAATACCCTATAGTATCTACTATGTACCTACGGAAATAGCCTTTATACTTCCGTTACCATTTCAAATGCTCTGGTACCCTACGGGTGGGGACTCGGCCTTTTCTCTTAAAATATTCATGAACTGATGGTAAGAGTGTATTGGCTTAACCATGGTAGTGTTGCTCGTCAACCCCATAATCTTGAATGGCGTGTTTTAGGCCACAGATTATACTTACATCGCTTACCCGTTAATTGAATTAGAACACAATAGAATAGACACGATAATATAACCACAATATAGTTGTGTGGCATATGGAAGTCTGGTACGTAGCTGTGTGCTGAATTTTAATCAATGCTACGCCTCCAAGTTATTACACGGTAATACAATTAGAATACTGTATAAACAAAATAAAATATGGTTTGTACTCGGACCGCAACCCTATATGTTGGAATCATTATTCATATACCCTCTGTAAGCTATTGCGTACTTACAACAACCGTGACATTATACTTCAGTTGCAATTATGTATGCCCTGGTTACCTGTGGCTGGGGAAACGGTCTTTTTTTTTTTTTCTTCAAATAGCATGTATTTACTGCTGATGGTTAAAGAAGGCATCAACAAATACTTAAGTTGTATGACACATGCACTTGGTTAGTATGACGAGTGTAATACAACAACTATACCTCCTAGTAATAGCCCAAAAATAGGATAGCATGTACTTTCAAAACAATTAGAGATTACATTAACCATCCGTCCCTACAGAGCTACATCATCAAATGCCTCAGTACATGAAAAATATACCTGCAGAATATAACTATGAACCTTCACAACTTCATCATATACCTGCGTGAGAGGGCTACATACCACTTACTACTGCAAATAAGTCGATGGATCCAACCGGTTACATCCTAGAGACACAAAAAACAATTACAATATAGCTATTGAATATGTACCTACTGTCTTAATATATACTCCTGGAAGCCAAAAAGATGTACAATGAAAAAAAGGTTCGCTAAGCTATTTGTTGCTTGCAACTTCTTCTATTATGTCCAAGACGCCCACAACGACCACATTTCCGTGCATTCTTTACCTGCTGGGACTCGAACCTTCGCTTCTTTGGCCGGCCTGGTTGGACAGACGACGGCGGAGGGTGAATTTGGTCCGCCTGAATTTCAACAATCACGTCCATATCATGCGTCGGTACGGGATTTATTGGCTCCTGGTACGTTTTTCTGTAAGATTCAATGCTATAGTAAAGATCGCAAAAATCATAAATTGACATACTGCATTTTTCAATGCAAGCGCAGGCATGCTTGCAGGGCAATCGGAACATTTGCCATTCTCGACAAGAGCATTTGCGCGCCTCCAAATCGACTGCGTATCTTTCATTACAATCTGTTACCTCGAATACAGTTCTAGAGGATGAACTGCACTGTAGCCGTCGAGACGCCATGTACGATAGTGCCAACTTGCTCTCCTGTTTTGGACAGAGCCTTCCGTGCATTATCTCCGACTTTTCGCGGCGTTCATTCATCATTACCATCACTTGCCTTCTAATGGTATCCAACATCCCAACGAATGGCATTTGACCTCGCGGATCTCACCCAACTATTCCATGACTCAGCAATGTTATTATTTATTATTCCCCAACGAGTGCCTCTGAATAGTGAATTTGCCCAACATTCTGGGTGTGATTGGGTAATGAAGTCCCTGGCCAATGGCATTGATTCGACCACAGAACTAATGTGGTTTTCGAAATCTCTCCTCAACGGAGCATAGGCGGCCTTATTGAAGACAGCGGTCCATCGTTTCTTATTATGCATTGGGTATCTCCGCATAACCTAAAAAAAAGACATTTTATGGCTGATCATAACCAGTGATGTTCATTACAGATTAATATTGACGTACATATACCTGGGTACGGAAGTTGTCCACTAAGTGTCGGAGACAGTACGCATGATGTGCTCCGGGAAAGACGCACGAGATTGACTTTAGTAAACCCGAGTGCCGATCCGAGAAGAATGTGTACTGTTTCCAATCCGTACGTCCCTCACATTCTAAAACAGATCGCAGCTTCCAGCAAAACCACTCCCAATTTTCATCATTTTCCGTAGACACAGCTGCAAGTCAACAAATAAGAACACAAATAACTACAAAGGTTTCCAACGTATAAGGGTACATACGTGCCTAAAGAGAGCATGGAAAACAGCATACACGAACAGCTATACCCAGCATTCTAACAAAATGACAACTGTAGCTAATATCAAATTACGTACCAGAAAATGCTAAAGTAAACATCCCATCATCCCCATCCACTGCAATTGCACTTAGCAGACACCCTTTGTGTTTGTTTTTTATATGTGTCCCATCAAGAAAGAGTAGGGGCCTGCAACCCCTCAAAAAACCCAGCCGGCATGCACCTAAACAAACAAAAAGGCGTTGGAAACGTTTGGTTGCCTGCTCAACTTCGCAGTCTATAATACTTCCCGGATTTGACTCCCGAAGTGCATGACAGTACCACGGAAGTTGTGAGAAACTGTCTCTACCTCCACCATTAATTGCCCTTATCGCATTCTCTTTGCCACGCCATGCTTTATGATATTTCACGTCAATCCCATAATCTGTTTGGATATGCTCCCGGATGTCGGATGCCTTATACGCTGGCATAGAACGTATCTTATCTTTGTAGACCTCAGAAATCCAGTTCGCATCGGCTGCTGGATGATCTCTTGATTGCAATAGACTCATAGTACATGTGTGATGTAAATTGCACTTACGAATGCTGAATGATGCATCACGAGCATGGAAGGATGCATAAATACGCCAACCACAGCCTTTGTCGATGCACACCGCAATAATTTTGCTCGAATCATTCTTTTGGTACCTAAAGTGTTTCTGAGTGGCAATAGAATAATTCTTCAGTAACTTTCTAAACTCCTGCGGTCCCTTGAATGTCTGCCCTTCCCCGACAATGCATCTCTGCATTGCAATTAGACTAGTACTTTCGTCGGGAATAAAGATACCATCGGCGCAATCTTCGTTCAATCCAGAACATTCGGCCTCACCCCTACATTACAAATACAATAATAAGAATGAAAATTATATCAGATGTAAGTAGTTCTAATTTTATATGGTAATAGATATTTTCAGAGTAAAGGGAAAAACATGGGTACCCATCTTACTCGACCGAGTATGTCCACGGTGTCTATGGTTACCTACCGTGTCATCCAGGGTATTTAAAAGAACAACTGCATATATTCACCGCAGCAGGCTACGTGATGCAGTAAATGCCATGGGCTACAGAAATTTCAACGCATCGATCATGGTACACCTACCTAAACCGGATTGCTAGAGGATATTGATAGTGGCGTGTGAAGAAGGAGTGAAAATCGTTAAATACCTTCAAGACGTTATATCCCCACTACATATCTTTACAATCTCTTCAGTGGTTCGTTCTGCACCGCGCTACTACAAAATCGCGGAGGTGGATACTTACTACCTACAAACAACATCGCAACAATATACCACGGTATTGTTGTATGCCAATATCATGAAAGAATTATTACTAACGTAGCCTATAAACAATATGTTTTTAGATGTGTTGAACATGACATTATAAGCGCTTACAGACTGCATTCTTACATACTGCATTATAAGTGCTTACAGACTGCATTCTTTCATAGGGAACAATTGTGACTGCATTCTATAACAAAGTTTAATAAAGACTACTTAATTACAAATGATGAGTAACGTACCTGCGTCCAACCGTGCTTCGGAGAGGCACGCTCTGGTGCTCGCTTCTGCACCGTGCAATCATATCCACAAACATTACCTTTAACAAGATATGCATTCTCCACATATTTGCGACATCATCGTCACACAATAACGTCACGTAGCTTTTCTGAATAGGTGCAATATATTGGAGTTTTACCGCCTCAATACTCACTTTATTCCATCTTTTCGATATATTCCGGTAAAGATCCTCCAGCGTGGTGCCCTCTTCTAAACGAATTACATGATGCTCACCTTCGTAGGAACATATAATTAATAATTTCAGACTACTTTGCTCCATGTCCATCGGAACCTAGCGATCCAACCGATGAACGTATGAACTATATTAGGTCGTATGGGCGATTAGATAATCTTACACAAAATACACTAAAATCATATGTTCTTACGGAATTCTAGTAATGTCTTGATCCTCAATAGCAACAAATTACCCATTTCACAAAATAAATATTACCCTTAAACCCTAAATAGCAACAAAATTTATTATCAAAATCACCCAAAATAATACCCAAACATTTTCTTCCAGATAATAATTTTCCAACTAAGATATCGATACAAAAACACACCTGGTACATCTAATTTCGCCGGAGAACAAGAAAGACGGGCCAGGGAACCGGTGACAGCCTTCGGTAGTTCTTCGACCGAATCAATCGACACAAAAACACACTTGGTACATCTAATTTCACCGGAGACCAAGAAATACGGGTCACGGAACCGGTGACAGCCTTCGGTAGTTCTTCGACCGAATCAACCGACTGCCGACGACAGGGAACCGGAACAGGATTCGGAGAGTGCCCTAGGAAATTTTTCAATCGAACCAGACAAGAAGCTTACCTGTGCGGGATGTGGCTTTCGAGCTCACGGAAGAGGACAACGGCTTCACAAGAATTTTTTGCGCGAAAAGAAACAGAATGAAGAGAAATACGATTAGGGAGGAAGAAGAAGGAAGAAGGAAAAAGGGGGGAGTGCAGAGCAAGTTTTTATCTTTAGGGACTGAATCCCAAATGATAAATGGACAGAGGGATTTTTGCCCAATTGTCCGTTATTTTTATGTCTGAATTGACAAATTTATCATTTATGATAATGTTGAGATTGAAAGTGATAAATAAATGAAGGGTAAAAAAGTAAAATTTGTATTTAAAAAAAAATAAAATAATAGTTATTGGACGTCCCAAATAGAAAAATAAGACATTAGTTTGTGGACGGAGTATTAAAAATATAAGTGCAGAAAACAATCAATGCTCGCGGGACGGAGAGAGTATATTTGTTGTAATATATATACACACTCCATTATATAGACATGAATGGCTGATCCAGCAGTGTAACGGCCTGTTTGTCACTTTCTCATAATTTCCCAAATGCTCTCAAATAGTTAAGCTGAAGCGAAACGGGTTTTCTGAAAATAATAATAATAATAATAATAAATAATAATAATAATATTTATATTATTATATGATTATTATAAATAAAACAATTAGTCGTCACGTTGTATGCAATCCAAAGTTTTTGTCTGTATCGCACACACCGTCTTCTTTTTGTTTTTTATTCGACGCGATCTCCGCCATTTTCAGCGGGAGTCTTCACTCCTCCTTCCCCCATTTGAATGACTGACGCTGCCCTGCTGCTTGCTGCACATTCTGCTCTTCTCTCCTTTCACCGGGTACAGGTACAGGTACAGCTACTAATACTATACACCGCTGCCGCAACTGTTTCCTGCTCCTGCATTATTCCTGTTTTTTCTGCAGTTGTTGATGAAGCATTTGATGCTCGTGAATGTTTGGGAAATTTTTAATTGCGGTTGTGTTTAGGGATATGAGATTTCTGGAAGTTGAAGCGGTTAGGTTTTGTGATTTATTTTTGTGATTTTTGTGCGAGGAAGTTGGAGGAGTTCCGAACCATTAGGGATTTGGTGTTGAATCAGAGGATTTAGGTTGATTGTGATGGCGCAGCAATGCTCAAATCATACATTCAGTACAGAGGATTCGAATTCGAATTTTTTCCAGTCCTCACTGGCGTCGGCGAATTCGATTCCGACGAGCATTGCAGTGGATGTTGTACCAGACGCTTCACAGAGATCCGCAGTTCCTTTCCACGGCAACAACGATCTTCCACGACATCGCCGTTCTAGCAGCGATGTACCTTTGGGATTTTCCGCCATGATGCAGTCTTCGCCGCAGCTGGTGCCAATAAGCAGCCCTAGAAGTTCGATCAGAGCAGTTGCAACCGCAAGCTCGGCGAAAAATCTGGGAAATGGCAAGGCAATCTGTGCAGTCAGGGTAAAAACAGAGGGAGATGCTGCAGACGACATGCTTGATTCATTCATGAATATGGACGCTTTCAATAACGACAAACATGCCGCCATTGCCGGCAACTCTAAGACAGAGCTTAGAGCTGATAGGAGCGCTGCCGAGCAGTTTCACCACAGCAGAAGCCTTTCAATGGACAGCAGCATTGGACATTTTCAGTTTGGTGGCTCCTCCACAACGCCGCTGACTTCCTTCTCCGATCAAGCCGCGGGACATTATTCGCTCACCGAAAATTTGGCTAAGATCAGCTTGGGGGAATTCAACGAATTTGAGCTGAAAAAGATCATGTCAGATGAGAGACTAGCAGAGATTGTCACATCAGACCCGAAACGAGTAAAGAGGTATGAAGGTGTTATCGAATATCTTCGTAATTCTAACCGTAGTTAAGATTAAACTATTGTTTAAATGTGGTTGTAGGATATTGGCGAATCGACAGTCAGCTGCTCGATCCAAGGAACGGAAGCTACGATACATATCCGAGTTGGAATACAAGGTGAGGACTCTGCAGACCGAGGCCACCACATTGTCGACCAAGATTACTATTCTGCAGGTGAGCTGCCATTGAAGGCTTCTCGCAAAGCTTTGTCGATGCATTTATGTTTGTAACAATATTAGTAATCTAATGATTGAACTTGTGTTGCCTCGTCAGAAAGACAATGCCGATTTAGCCAACGAAAACAACGAGTTGCAGCTGCGCATTCGCGCGATGCAGCAGCAGGCGCAACTCCGGGATGGTATAATTTGGATCCTATCGATGTAATTTTCTTGTTCGATTTTGATACATTGTAATGGATCGTGTTAATTTCTTCCATTTTCGACGCAGCAGCTCTCCATGACACATTGACGGCGGAAGTCGAGCATCTGAAGCATGTGAATATGGAGTACAGAGAAGACGACGGGGCGAGACCTAATGGCATTCACATATAACAACAACAACAAATATCGGATCGAAAATGTCGAAAATATACAATCTTTGGCTATGTCCAACCACGGTGAGGCATGAATTAAACCCACTGATTTTCTTGATCTACAGCTGATCAATCTGGTAATGCAAATTCATCTCCATTAGTGAAGCTTGGATAGGATGTGTTCATTTGATTATTGTGTATTCATGCTAGAAAAATAATTCTGCTATTGTAGTTTTTCATGTGTAATAATAATGGTGGTGTTGGACTTAATTCAATTGTTGACTTTATTGTTACCAAAGTTGAAATTAATTCGATGGTGTTTATGTTCAGGAATTATATATGAACTGTAAACTGCTGTAAAAATATAAGCTTTGACAGGGACATCCAACGACTTTGCACAAATCTCGAGGCGATCGGACGGCAGATAGGAGGGGCTTTCACTTTCATTCCCTCACAGCCTGTCCATATGTCGCGTGCCCACCCTCCATGCCATTACCTAACACACTTGGCAGTGGCAAACAACACTAGGGGTTTGTTTTTTAACAGCTGTTAAATGTTAAATTTCATTGACAGTGAAATAGAAAAGGAGGAGCAGAAGATTGGTGCCAGACAGCGACACGCAACAGAGGTGAAAAATTAAAAATCTGCAGAGGAAGAAAGAAAACAACAAAAAAGAGTGCCCCTTTTTGGGTTTCCCCTTTCCACAGAGGGGAAAAGGAAAGGAATTATGATTCCTTCAAAGGCTTTCTCAACAACAAAGATATAATTTCATCCTTTTCTCTTTGATTTAGGGTTCTCTCGAGCTGCCTCTGCCTCTGCAATTCTTACCCACGGTAAGGTTTCTCACTCATTTCTTGAGCTCTGGGAAATCATATTCTCTTTGATTTAGGGATTCTTGTATTATATACGTTGTTCTTGGTATGTGGGTTTTCATTTGTCTTTCTGTCTGAAGTGAAGAATCATTTGCTTTTGTGAGATTATTATATGTTTTTTGGAATTCTGTGCTGAGCTGAAATTGGGACTTATCGGAATCAAGACTGGTACCTTTTTTTTATTATTATTTTTTATTTTTTATGGATGATGCAGTCTATGTTGTAACTGATTCTTGTCTGAATGTTTTCATTTTGGTAGCATCTGTGAGTGAGAGCTGTTGAAGTTGTTGAGAACAGCAACGGTTGTTTTGAAGGAGATGTTTTAAAGCATTGTGTGGAAACTTATGTAATTAGTCAATGCATGTGTTAATTAAGGTGGAATGTTGGAGTGTTTTGTGCTAATGAAAGCAAGTTTTTGTTGCTTGGTATCTTACCTTCACAAATGGCATCTATTGTGTGTAATAACTTGGGTTGAGCTACTTTTATGCCTATGAAGTTGTCCTTAGATGTCGAAAATTTGAAGAATTACGGTAAATTGAGTTACTTTTATGCCTATGGAGTTGTCCTTGGATGTCTAACATTTGAAAATTTATGGAAATTGAATTACTTTTATGCCTATGGAGTTGTCCTTAGATGTCGAACATTCGAAAATTTTCGGTAAATTGAGTTACTTTTATGCCTATGGAGTTGTCCTTGGATGTCTAACATTAAAAAATTTATGGAAATTGAGTTACTTTTATGCCTATGGAGTTGTCCTTAGATGTCGAACATTCGAAAATTTACGGTAAATTGAGTTACTTTTATGCCTATGGAGTTGTCCTTGGATGTCTAACATTCGAAAATTTATGGAAATTGAGTTACTTTTATGCCGATGGAGTCGTCCTTAAATGTCGAACATTCGAAAAATTACGGCAAATTGAGTTACTTTTATGCCTATGGAGTCCTTGGAAGTCTAACATTTGAAGAATTACGGTAAATTGAGTTACTTTTATGCCTATGGAGTTGTCCTTGGATGTCTAACATTCGAAAAATTACGGTAAATTGAGTTATTTTGATGCCTATGGAGTTGTCCTTAGATGTCGAACATTTGAAGAATTACGGTAAATTGAGTTACTTTTATGCCTATGGAGTCCTTAGATGTCTGACATTCAAAAAATTACGATACTTTTATGATTATTATGTAGGAATGTCTTCTGGAAAATGAGTGTAGATGACTTTGATTGTATGTTTGCAAGTAGCCGGCGCACAATCGATATTGAATTTACATGTCCTTACAATTGATATTGAATTTACATGTCATTACAATGCCTGTGGTGAAAAACTCGGCGTCTAGTAACTTTTTCACTATTTCTACCACTGGGTGAACTTTTTGTTTTGAAATGAATGCTGCTAGATGGACGAAAATGGTCACCGGGAAAACGGACGCCATAAGCCGCATCAGGGACAGGTAAGTTATATAGCTCATTGGCACCTTTTCCTACAGGCGATTTACACCGTAATAGCTGAGAGTTGTTTTTGTGTATGTATCTGTGTGTCCTAATCAATATTTTCATGGTTATTTTTTATTACAGTGGTTGATGCAGCATCAGCCATCAATGAAGCAAATAATGTCGATTATGGCCGAAAGAGACGCAGCGATCCAGGAACGGAACTTAGCCATTTCCGAGAAGAAAACCGCCCTAGCCGAGAGGGACGTAGCCATTTTACAACGGGATTCCGCCGTAGCAGAACGAAACAACGCAATAATCGAACGAGACAATGCCATAGCCGCTCTCCAATTCCGAGAAAACGCCCTCAACGGTGGCAGCGCTTCTCCTTGTCCGCCAAGCTGCCAAATCCCGACCGGCGTGAAACACGTTCATCATCATCCCCAGCACCACGGGCACCACCAATTGCTCGCCGCCGAAACTCCCGATAGTATGCAAATGACCGACGTCGTCCCGGGGTCGCCCGTCCAGCCTGAACCGGGCAAATCCCGACGCGTGAAACGTCCGAAAAACGAGACACCTAGTAAGAGGACGTCAAAATCTTCAAAAAGAATCAAACAGGAAACGGAGGACCTCAACAAAACTATGTATAGATCGCCCGAAACGGGCGATGTCCTAAACCGGCAGCTTGGCGGAGCAAAACCCGACTGGAAAGATCAAGACTTGGGCCTGAATCAGGTGACGTTCGACGACTCGACGATGCCGGTTCCCGTCTGCTCGTGCACGGGGGTACTCAGGCCGTGCTACAAGTGGGGCAACGGTGGCTGGCAGTCGTCGTGCTGTACGACGAATTTGTCAATGTATCCGCTCCCGGCAGTGCCCAACAAGCGCCATGCCCGAGTTGGCGGCCGGAAAATGAGCGGCAGCGCTTTCAACAAGCTGCTTAGCCGCCTTGCTGCGGAGGGCCACGATTTGTCGAATCCCGTCGACCTTAAAGAGCACTGGGCGAAGCACGGGACTAATCGATATATTACGATCAAATAATAACCGGGTAAGCGAGTACGACGGAACCGGAATTTGGAAACTAAGAACTCTGGGCTTGCTTGTTCGTCGGCGCCGCCGTCGATGTCGGCTCCGGCTACTCAGGTAATAACAATGTGATGGTGTAAATGTTGTAAGTTAGGCAATGTTGACGACGAAAAAATGGGAGCTGGCTGATGTTATGGTTTAAGGTTTAAGATTTATGTCCCAATCTAAGGATTCAAGTGGCAAATGTACCTGTGGTTCGGTTTGTTTGGTTGTTTTTGGGGAACATACTTTGTAGTTTTAAAAAATTATATCAAATTTCTTTTAATTTTAAAATTGCATAAAATTTCAATTTCATGTGGTTTAGTAAATTTTTTGTCAGACTGTTGGAGATTGAGTTGCTAATGTAACTTATAAAAAATTGCAGATCCGAATTTAACTTCTAAATTGCAATAATATAATAACAAATTTATAAATTTATCTTTTACTTCAAATTTAATTAGTCTTTGACATTTTTTTTTTAATAACATGCCAACCTGCTGCCCCTATTTATTTGACAGTGTAATAAATATAAATTACACTAGGTGAATCTGTGTGGCATCAAGGTCATTCTAATTTTTTTTTGAGATTTCGAGTAAAAATAAATTGTAGGTCCTATAAATATATTTTTAAAATAATATCACCAACGTTGATGATGATCGAGGGAGGTAAAAAGAGAGAATAAGACGGATGTGGTACGGCATGGCATGACATGTAGAGAGGTGTAGATGACTATTAAATTCGAGGTGGAGTGTGGATAGTTAGGAAGAAAATATTAAAAAATATATGATTAGAGTTTAAAATTTAATTTTAAAATTAAAATTTAATTAAATAATTATAAAAAAAACTAAAATTTATTAATAATAATAATAATATTTTAATATTTTAAAATATAAGTCTTTTTGAGTTATGAACCTTGAGCTGCTTACCCTGCTCCCGCTTAAAGTCACCTGTGTGTTGCATGCAAGATGATCTCATAGTCTCGAATCCATCGTACCATCTCTTATGTTCTTGCTTCACGGATCAAATATTGTTTTTCAGCACCATGCTGAACCCCTCTAAAATTGTGTTGCACTAATTTATATTATTTAATTATATTTTAAATATAATTAAGATATTGATATTTTAATTAATCAGCATAAGTGTTGAAAAAAGATTTAGCACATGATCTGTGTGCCCTTCTTCTTGCTTCTTGTTCATGACTTCCTTTCTTCTTCTTCTTCTTATTTTTCTTTTTCTTTTTTAAGCAAAATTATTACTCTCTATATAATATGATGATGATTATTATTATTTTTGTCTGTTACTATTTACTTTAGTTAAAATTTTCAATGGGAAGCTTCATCTATCTCTTAGTGTGCTATGCAAAATAGGTATAAGACATAAGCATTTAATTGATGGGAAGAAAGAAAAAGAAAAATAGGAGGAAGAAAATGGTGGAACAATGTTGATAGCTATTGTATTTTGCACTATATTTTTTTTGTTTATAATATTTTTATTAGTAATATTATTACTCTATATTTTATTATTATTATTATTATTATTATTATTATTTGTTAACTATTTTAGATGAAATTTTCAATGGGAAGGCGACTGTAGCAACGAATAAGGAATGATAAAGAAAGAAAAAAGAAAAGAAAATGGTGGAATGTTGTCGGCAAATATTTTATTTTGTTGTATATCTTTTTTGGATTTTTTTTGTTTATTTATTAAGAAAATTATTACTATACTTATTAAAATTTGTTATGAAATTTTTAGTTTAGTTTAGTTATGAAATTTTTAGAGCATTAAAATAAGTTTAGTTAAGAATTTTTTTTTTTGATTCTCTTCCAAATCTTCCCATCATTTGCTCTAACTTCTTCATGCTTGCCGATAAGTTTAGTTTGGCTTCTATACATCAAACGGAATGAGTATTTTTTTTTATATTACTGATATTATTTTTCATATCTTACATCCAAAAATTTTTAAATTAAAATACTAAACAAACAAATGATAATGTAAATATATATATATATATATTGTGTTTCAGTGTTGGGTGTCGTGGAACGAGGGGGAAGAAGAGAGGAGAGGAAGAAGTGAGATTAGAGTGGCTCCGGGTCAAGCTGACCAATCAAATCAGCATCACATGAAGGTAATCAACATATATTATATTAACTCTGTTCCTTAACAATCTATCCATTTTTCCGTGCAAAAAACAAATGGATATATAGATATGGGACAGAGGGAGTATATTATTATACCATATTTATGATATAACATAAGTTATATTATAATTTAATATATGATATCTTATAATACAATATAGATTGTTTATGTAAAAGTATATATTGTATATCTTTATGTCATATGTTGATTTAATTGGATCAACATCTGATCCGCGCCCGATTAGAGAGTGAGCAAAAGTGTTGAGCTCACTTATTCTCCGTTGGATTTGTTTCGATCTAAACTTTGTGCTTAGTTTGTTCTTATTGCGCCTTTGTGTGTTCATCCTCCTTCATGGGTGTTCTTGGGGTTTGGGTGCATGGCTTTGGTGTCGATAGCAACTATCGACCTTGGTGGTCTTGCCTTATCGGACAATTTGGAATCGATTGGCGCGACAGTAAACTGCAAACTGAACTTAATTATCGTTTCTTTACATATATTTTATAGCATAATTTTCTAATTCTATTTTATTATTCTTATTATGTTAATTTACTTATCAAGTCATTTTATTGATGAAGATTATTTAATTGTAGACAACCCATCGATCCTATTGAAATCCAAACAATTTTTCTTTTTTTTTTTTTTAATTTTTTTAAATTTCACGGTTTTTTTCCATAATATTGCTAGTATGCATCAAAGCCCATAACAAACAACAAAATATAGATCTTATAAAAATACAATTAAATATATTTTCAAAGTAATATCAATGATGAATATAATAATGAATTCTATATAAATAAAAATGTTAGAAAAATTGGTTAATTATATAATCGATGAAATTTAATTTTACATTAAATTCATAATTTACATAACTAATTATTCGATGAGTTCAAATGCACGTGGGTTGTATGGTGGTTATTGATAGTGTGGTTAGGCATATTAATGCTGGTGAATCACATACGCGACTCGCCCGGACCAAATAATGACACAAGTACACGAACATGAGTTTTGTCTCCAGCTCAAAGGTCTTGATCGTGGTCGTGGGTTGGATTTGAGTTTGGTGAATGCTAGACTTGACGAAGTTTATTATATTCTGAAGCTAAATCGAAATAACAAAATATTTTGTTGAAACCCGATAAAATATATTTTTGTGTAACAAAAATATAACTAAAAAATTATAATTACATGCATATATAGTAAATGATTATTTGAAATTTAAAAATTCAAATAATATATTTTTGACCGGAATTAAGTTTGGTGTTTATGATCGGACATTACGAAATTTAATTGTCATCGATTACGGCAGTTTCAGCTCGGACATTAATTGTCCGGCATGCTAAAGGTGCCTATAAAAGGCCCTCACCATTTCATTTCTAGACGCACCAACCAGGCGAGAATTCTTTTCTCTCCATCCATCTCTTCCTCTATGAGTTTTCGAAAATATTTTCAGCAAGTTTTCGGTCAATATTTCAGTAACTTGCACTTATGTTCAAGCCTCCCGACATAGCTCAAATTCACTTTATTTTAATTCACCAGAGCTCCGAAATATTAAGGTGTCATCTAATCAGAGACGAACGTCGTTTTATCTTTGGGAACATTGCGCCACGAACCGAAGGCGCTACCGAGGCGTGTTCATTTTTACGGAGAGATGTTCTACCTCACTCAACGTGATTATCGGATTTGTTTCGATAAAATATTTTGATTATCGAATTTATCTTGATAAACTGGAGAGAGGCTCTACATTGATTCGACATGATTATCAAATTTATTTCGATAAATTATTGTTATTATCAAATTTGTTTTGATCAATTATTTTAATATTAAATTTTATTTTTCAATAATTATTTGATATTCTCATGATATCATAATTTTTTTAACAAAGAAATATTTTAATTATATATCCAATAAACAAGCATACATACAAATTGTATCATTAATCGAAAATAAATAATATTTTTACTATTATAAACAGATAATTCAATAAGAATAAGAACAACAATATGGGTCCTCTTAGGCAGAGACAATTGTAGAAAAAATAAATAGTAAAGAAGGTAAAATTTAATTGTAATTATGCATGCAGTAATTTTAAAACTTAAATAATAATAATTGCATTAAATCTAAAAATATGGGTCGTCTAACCCAAAAATGTTGAAAAATTGCTCAAATTGCTCTTCCCATTAGCCAACCCTGGTTTATGTTAGAGGAAATAAATTGTTAAAATTGAGATGGGATAATCCAAATTAATATTCGAACAAACAATGATCTAAATCGGAGTTTCGAGCTTTATGTTACACGCGATCTCTTTGAAACAAATTCGATCCCGCCATTGATTGCTTCCCATGTAGATTGACCGGAATGTCAGATTCTGCAAACCAAATTAAAAAGTACTCCCTCCGTCCCAGAAAATATGAGACTATTACTATAGATACGAGAATTTAGGTAAAATATAATTAGTAAGTAATTAAGAAGTGTATTAGTAAAAATAATTATTATTTAGTAAAAATAATTATAGATTTAAAATTAAGATAAATAAATAGTTTAATTAAAATTAAGAAAATTATAAAATTTAAAATTTAAAATGCGATTAAAGTTCATAATTATATTTCCAAAAATAGAAAAAACAAGTCATGTAGGATACACGAAAATAAAAAATAGGGACAAATTATGTGGGACAGGAGCAGAAGTTTTAGAGACATTTTGCAGAAAAATGATGTATTAAAAAAAATTATCATACCCAAACCCCAAATCTTGACATTTAATACAGTAAATCCAAACTCATATTAGGTTAGGCCCAATCCAATCCATGTCCAAATTTTCTATTTATTAATATTGGGTTTATCATTTCAGATTTTGTAATAAATTAAAAAATAATAATATTTTATTAGTTAGTGAAAGTGCGTAAGAAAATTAGACATATTTATCATTTGATTTTATGTAAAAAGTAAATGGATGTGTAATAGTATATTTGTAATTTAAATAAAAATTAAGGATATTTTATTATTAATGTATTTCTTTTTTGAAAAATGAAAAAATACTTTAAAATGACATAAACGAAAATGGTAAAAAATTTACTTTAAAATAAGACGGAAGAACTATACAGTAAGTGAGGATGAACAAGGTCTTTTTACCTTCTTATTCTTTCTCTTTTACTAATATATCCAACAATTTATATCTACGACCATATATATATACATGTATATATATATTTACATCAGCATTTGTTTGTTTAATATTTTAATTTAAAAATTTTTGGGCGTGAGATATGAAAAATAATATCAGTAATATAAAAAAATACTCATTCCGTCTGATGTATATTGCAACAATTTTTTTTTAGTTGTCTCATATATTATGCAATATTTCAAAATAGAAAATATTTAACTATATACACTACAATTTATCATATTATATTACTCAAATAAAAAAATAAATACCATATAATTCTCTTGTCAAATCACCTAATTTTCAAATTATATTTTCTTCTCCTACCCTGCAATATTTTTTACTTGGTCATCTTATATATCCCGAAATATTTTCAAATAAAAAATAATTAATAAATTTTATCTCATTATACTATTCAAATAAAAAAATAAATATACAATATTCTTTTTAATCATATTACCTAACTTTCAATTTATTCTACCCACTTAAATTTTCGTAGTGGAATCAAAATATTGCTTTTTATACGAGACGAAGAGAGTATTATTTAATGCTGTCTATCTAAATTTTCGTAGTAAAAAGCAAATATTATAAAATATATGAAATGAAAAAATAATATTTGTATTAAATTATTGACAGAAACAGACAGGTTAGTACACAAAATTAGGGAAGTATTTCGGATCATTTTTGTATCAATCCATTCCACCAAATTAAATCACTATCCTTATAATAATTCTCCAATTATCTAAATATTAATTAACCAAATATAGGGAAAAAAAAAAATCTCTATAAACAAATCAACACAAATAATTGTCCTTTAACGACACGTGTGCATATTCTTTAAATGATTGAGGACTGAATTTGCAATAATGAGAATCCGTGTGGTCAAATTTTGATGTTCGTAAAATTATAGTCACCAAAAATGCATTATTGAAGAAATGTGGGGCCATAATAAAATACTTGGGTATTTAGAGAGTACTGTTGGGCATTTTTTAATGCAATCCGAAGGTTATTTTTGTTTCATTTCATTTTTCACGCGCTTTCGCTGTGCTTTTTTTCATTACAACGTAATCATCGCCGTTTCCAGCGGGAGTCGAGTTTCCCTTTTGAACACCGATTGTTTCTAGAATAAGTAGGGAGGGAAGGATTCGACCGTTTTGGGCGTCAGGTAAGCATTCTCGATGGTTGTGGTGAAAGATAAGAACTCAATTGATTTGATAGCGATTCGGAGTTTTTGTTTATGTTGTTTTTCGTTAAGTTTCAATTACTCTGTTTCTTCGATGCTTCAGCTTCGAGTTTGATGGACTGCATTTGATTCTCGATCAGTTTAGAAATCGTAGGTCGATTTTGAGGAATTTCAGATTAATTAGGGTTTTGTTTTTTTGATTAAGCTGTAGCTATGGTGCGATTGTGAGTTTGGTAGGGTTTTTGCCGACGGTAGGAGGCGGTTTTAATTTTAATTTTTTTTATAATTATTATTTTATTTTTATTATATTTGGTAACTATAAGGGGAAGCATAAGCATACATTGCGTTGAGACTCTTGAGGATTCAGTGAAGTGAAGGGTTTGGATTTGGGGTTTGGTGATCGATAGGTGCGACGAAATCAATGGCTCAGATTAATCCAAAGCAGAGTTTGAATGAAGCAATCAACGGTGGTGGTTCACATTCGAGGTCTCTATCTCAGCCCACCTTCTTCGGCAGCCATGGATTGCCCCCATTGAGCCCCCATACCCTGTCCGACCAATTGTTGTCTCTGTCGAAATCCAATCCCAATTCGAAGAGCTTGTCAATGGAGGAAATGGATGTTACTTTTCGAGGTTGTAGTAACGGCCTTCCGCCGCGCCGCGGCCATCGACGAACTAACAGCGACGTAGCCTTAGGATTCTCTGCAATGATTCAGTCTCCATCTCAGTTGTTAATGTCGGGACAAGGATTTTACACGCCTGAGGTAAAGCCGGAGGGCGAGGTTGTCGATGAATTGCTCGATTCACTAATTAATGTCAATGCGATGAACGTTTGCGACGGTAAGGATAAGGACAGCGTCAGCAGTGGTTCAAAAATGAGCTGCGGCGACGGAGGCAGCAATTCCGACTCGGAGACTGCGTCGAGGAACTGCGCGAGTGCGAATTCTCGGGAGGGTGTTAAAAGGGCTGCTGACGGGGATATTACGCCGCCGCCGCCGCTGTTTCGTCATTCCCGGAGCCTTTCGATGGACAGCGGGATTGGGAAATTGCTTTTCGAGCCGAACGGGCCGAGCAATTTGTTGAATGAAAACTCGGGTATGATCCAGTCGGACGGGTTTAGCGACGCTGAGATGAAGAAAATCATGATGGATGAGAGGCTTGCGGTTATCGCCATGTCGGACCCGAAACGAGTGAAGAGGTATACATACGATGTTGATGATGTCTTTGTTATTACGTTGTTACCGTCCGGAGCTTAATTGAGCCTTGTTTGGGGAATTGTTATCGGTTTTCAGGATATTGGCGAATCGGCAATCGGCTGCGAGGTCTAAGGAGCGGAAGCTGCGATATATATCGGAATTAGAACATAAAGTGCAGACTCTACAATCGGAAGCCACCAATTTGTCAGCGCAAATCACAACTATACAGGTGCTTAATCGAGGATGATCGATTCTTTAATTTTTTAATTTTTCCAAATTTTGTGTATGTTACTTTGTAGTAATCGAATTTTGGGTATTTTCTTCAGAACAAGCGCACCGATTTGGTTCATGAGAACAAGGAGCTAAAACTACGCTTTCACGCTATGGAGCAGCAATCGCGTCTCCAAGATGGTACTTTTCGATTTCTATTAAGGGTGTGTTTGTTTGAAAGTTTGGATTTTTGGTTGAGATTTGAATAGTAAAAAATTTGAATTGGAATAGTTGTATGATGTGATGTTTTGAATGTAAAATTGATTTATAATATAATATAAAAAATGTAAAATAGGTATCTGAGTTGATTATTTGAAGGAAAAATTTTGCGTGAGTAGTGGAAGTCTTCCCAAATCCTCGAAACAAACACATCCTAACTCTTGATCATTTTTGTAAATTTAAATCGATTGTATGTGGAAATTGTTATGCATCTCATTTGGTGGTTGTTTTTTTAAACTTGCATTGTTCCCTTCTATTCGATCTATTTAATTCAAGAAAATGTTTGTGGTCGCAGCACTGCACGAGACGTTGCTGTCTGAAGTTCAGCGGCTAAAGATTGCTAACATGGAGCTTTTAGAAGACGGTCGAGCATCTATAGCGATGGCGAGGTATGCAAGCATCAAGCATCAAATGATCTCGAATTTGGACGAGAAGCGCCATCCTAATCAGCAGCAGCAGTCGGGGACAACGTCCGAATCATCGGGGACAACCTCTGCAGCTGCGCCTGCCTAGACATAACGAGTATCTATCTATTGGTTTGGTAATGTTCGGACAAGACACTCCAATCCGTCATCATATATAGTCGTCGCTCTTTCGGCCGGTAGAGTATCTATCTATCTATCTATCATTTAAATTGCATTACATATGAGTAAAAAGTTACTACATGGATCATACATTGGATTTGTTCATTAGTAGGTATATAAAGAAAGGGTAAAAAACTACATATAGGTTGAATATAGGTTGAATTTGCAGGAAGAAACTTTCTTTGTGTTTATTATGTTGTGATGTTTGTTTGTTTGTTTAGAACATGAACCATTCTTTTCTTACATGATTTTACCATCATATCACATGTTGTTGAATTTCTGTCTAACTTTTGATTCTCTGATCGAACCTAATAACCTGCGAAGTAGGTTTAAAAAGACAAGTCACACTAAGTGAATTATGTGTAGCAAGTAAGACCTGAAAATGTCGGGGTTTGAACTTACGACCTTACGGTTATGAAATTTTATATATATATTAGTTATTTTAATTATATACTCCCTCCGACGGTCTAAAGAGACTCTTTGAGATTTTGTAGTAGATTAAGAAATAATAGGATTTTATTAGTTAGTGAAACTATGTAAGAAGTTTTGATATTTTTGTCATTTGACTTTACGTAATGAATGGTATGCGTGTAATTTAAGTAAAAGTGTATTTTGATATTGAAGTAAGATTACTTTTACTAAATTAGAAAAGAGATACTTTGGAGTGGAACAAACAAAAATGATAAAATAGGTACTTTCGTGGGACTGAGGGAGTAAAATTTTATTTTATTTTTTGAAAAATATTCTTCCAACTTTTTTCTTCAACACATTTTTTCCAAAATTACTAATATATCACATACATTCATTATTATTATATTTTTTACACAATTTCTCATACTTCATATAATAAAATATTTATTCAAATTATTTTACAAAACGAACACACCCTCGTGTTGAATGTATTTTAGTTCTTAAAATATATTTAATTTGTTTTTAATCAAATATAGTGTATTGTAAGCTAATTTATAACAACAATAAGTTTGTTCATTTAGTATTTTATAGTGAACATTTTTTTTCATAAATATTCATCTAAAACTTACTCTAAAGTCATCCATTCAAAAATTGCTCAACTATGATGTTTTGAAACGTTCAAGACGACACAAAAAAGAAAAAAAATTTTTAATGAAAAATAGCATTTAAAGAGTAACACATATATAATATATTATAATCTAGCATATGTAATACTCTTGCATGCTATAGGATCATAGATTAGTTTTACTAGCTCCCACTTACAAGTTCTCCCTACTATTTTATTATTGCAAATCTAGGTCTGTTATCATTTATTACATCCTTAAGTAGTTGTCTCTCCCTTAGCATTGCAAATCTTACATGTTGTAGGATTGTAGATTGACCTACTCACTAATATATTCTTCATTGAGCAAACGCAATGGTGTTGTATTAAAAAACCTTCGAGGCTTACGTGTTACTCATGTGTCAAGGGTTAATTTGTTCAGTGAAGTAAAATAAAAAAAAATGTCACATAGTAACTCATTATGACGATGCCCAATTCTTCTTTATCCATTTTCAAACCCTAAATCGGTGAAGAACGGTCTAACCAGGTTTTCAAATTCCAATAAGAAAAACTTTTAATTTTCACTTATTCTTTTCTTCTTTTTCTTCTCTTCGCTGGTTGGGTTTAGAGAGATTGGAAGATTTGGTGTAAATAGAAGTTTCGATCAAAGATTTAGGAGAAGAGTTTAAACGAAATCAACTCCTGCTCTGGAAATGATGTTTATGAAATTGGCAAATGTTGCTCAAAAATAAATGTTCTGAACTTGGTAAATGTTTCAAATTTTGGATATACACTGATTTTAACAATTACTACTCACTTCCAAAGCAGAGAAACCATAAACCCTTGTAGTGTTAAAGAACATTCCGAATGACGACAAGTTAGCCTATGACGAAAACGATTTCTGTCCCAACGTGATCCGACTGCAACGATTGTGACAACGACACCGGCGGTTGACCACTGCGACAAAGAAGACACAAACTTGTTCTTTTAGAAATAGTTTTTGGGGGGAGATTTTTAAGGGAGGAGGAAAGAGAGAGAAAGAGAAAAAGTACAATCTCAGATGACATCTACTGCACAAGCCCGGGTTGAAAAAACCGGTTCAAAAACAGCCTGATTTTAATGTGTAATATGTGATTTAATTTTTAACTTTTACAAAAACCACCTCAAGCCAGGTGGTGATGTCATCGAAAATAATTTTATTGCGTTTGCTCCTACTTAACACCCTGTCCAAAAATTTTTTATATAGTTTAATCGATGACTTAATTTCTACTCCATGCTGAAAAGGGTATTTTTGGTATTTTATATATATTATGTAAATATGTCTAATGTGTCGACTATTAATAGGCAGTAATGTAAATATATTATCCTCAATATCATTATTCATAAGAGTGTTTGTTTTGGTGTTTTAATTTAAAAAAAATAATAGTAACATATAATTAAAAAAAAGAAAAACCCATGCGTGTATAAGTCCAAAACACATCTAACTAAAGGCTTAATAGCAATTTGGTTAGAGGCAGGCAGGGAGAAAAGAGTCATTTAACAGAGTGGAGTGGTGAGTAAAGACTAAAGACAAGGCGCGCAGATCCATTCACATTTAATTCCAATTTGAGCAGAGCATTTAATTTTACGTTGTGCTGATCCTCTCTTTCTCTGTCAGTTGTTAAAACGTCACCATTCTTTAATCTATTCCTTTTTCTTAAATTAAAAAATAAAAAATCAATATATTATTATTATTTATTATTTATTTATTTATTTTTTTGATGAGGCGGGATCCGCCGACATCTACTCTTTAGTTCAGGATTTGTTTGGTTAGGATGTGTTTTCCAGGGGCGGATCTATCCTATATCTAGTGTAGCATGTACTACAGGTGATTTTTATATACCACCAAAAGAAATTTTTGTAATTTAATAATTACGCAACTATTAAAAATTTAGAGTGTCATCTTTTAAAATTTAAAATTGATCTTTATCCCAAATTTTTAAATAAACTGTTTAAATTTTATTTATAAAGTATACATATTTTTATTTTGGACCGTTGAATTATAAATTAAATATTTTATTAAATATCTTTTTTTCTTCTACAAATATCATTATACTACTCTTAACTATCTATTATAATTAAAATACTATTATTTATTAAACATTGCGCCAAAAATAAAAGTTTACTTTCTATTTCTATGTTGATGGAGGAAGTAATATTTAAAATGTCATCAATATCTAAATAATTAAAATTCAATCCAAATAAAATAATTCATTTATATTTTAAAATATAAATATACAAAAATAATTTTATATTATTATTATTTTTTATTTTAACTTTGTATATTGTGACGCCAGTAAAAAAAAGATTTTCTGAATCCGGCGCCGCTGTGTTTTCCTTCGAAGGATTTATTGAATGAATTTGAAATGCATGAGTGCAAGAAAATATCAATACCTACTAGCAAATGCCAAAACATGCACACATTAAAGGAAAGCTTTGTAAGATGGTGACAAGAATAGAAGATCATCATCTTCATCTTTGGATTAACCATTGTTTTCTTTAATTTTTCTTATACACCTTCTCTTCTATTGGGCCAGTTTGTATATATATTAGCTTAGCTCATTAGTAGAATTAGTCCAACTAGTTGTAATTGTCTTTGCCATGATGTCACTTAGAATATAGGCAAAGGCGAATCCAAAAATTTTTTTATTAGTTGCGCAATATATAAATTTAAAAATAAAATAATTTATAAGATTTGATTTATTAAAATAATAATAATAATGTAATATTATTTTATATATTTATATTTAAAAATATAAATTAATTATTTTTATTGAATTGGATTTTAATTATTTGAGTATTTATGATATTTTAAAATTTAAATTTTAAATAATTCACCTAATTTTTTAGGATAATGATGCAATTTTGAATTTTAAGGATACTCCAATTTTTTAGTAATAGCACATTATTAAATCATAAACATTTTCTTTTAATATAATAAAATCACCGGTGGCACGTGTCACTATTCCAGCAAAAGTGGATCCGCCCCTGAATGTAGGGATAGAAACAAATTGTATATAGCAGTGTACCTTACCATTTGCAATACTACAAATTGATCATTCTCCTCTTATTCTCTCATGTTCAACATTGTTTTTACATTGATAAATACGTAGGAATCCCCTTGATCTATAAAGGTGAAGGGTCACTCCATCTAACTCCACCTATCACCAATTAATTTTAGATTGGAAGTTCGAATCCTTTTTTAATTTGATATCAGAGTTATGGTGATAGAGACGGAACTACATGGGAGTTGAGGGCACTTGACCTCAACCCCTAAAATATAGGATTTTTTTAATATAAGAAATAATAAAATTATGTATTTTTATTATTATTATTTTGCTCCTTTTTTTTCAATTTTTTTTTTAGTGTAAAACATAATAATTTTTTTGTAGCTTTGTTGATTTATATTTTTAGGTTTTTAATTTTTTTAGTAGAAATTATTTAATTTTATTAAATTTTCTTAAATATTTCTCAAACAAATTAATTTTTAACTATTTTTTTTCTTTCTTTTTATTTATCCGATTGCATTGGGAGAAATCGAAAAGGATAATATTAAATAATTTAAAAAGTGAATTGACCCCCTAAATTTTAGGGCTGGTTCCGGCACTGATAGTGCCCGTATTGGGTAATGATCCTGGATGAATTTTTGATATTATCATCTCGATGGACAATGTTGAATATTGTCTCACATTGATAAATATGTGACAATTCCATTGATTTATAATTGGTTTTAGGTTGGAAGCCTAGATCCCTTCTTAACTGACGATATGATGTACCGAAAACTAGTAGGTTTTCTCGTGTTAATGTGATATTTTGAATGTAAAATTGATTTTTAATATAAAATAAAATATAAGTATTTGATTTGATACTTTTTGGGAGAAAAAATGAGATGAATAGCGAAAATTCGGGAAAATCTCCCAAAAGAACACACCTAATGTTAACAAGGGAAGATATCACATTTTCTATAAGTTTGATGACTTGTTATATGAAAAATTTGAAGGAATCTCGTCTGGAAGCAGTTGGACAATTCTTAAAATACGTGATGAGCACATTTGATGAAATATTGGTATTAATAAATCGATTATATTTATGATATTTTGTTGCATTGTAACAATTTGTCAGCAATATAATTGGCACAAAATGCAATTTTACCTATTTATTAAAGAATTTTTTTTTTTTTTACAAGATGAGATTAACGTTCATAAAAAGTGTAACTGCAAGAAAATTTTCGTCAACAAGTTAAGACATCGATATTAAAAATTAATTTTTATACCACCAAACTAAACCCTTTTTATTTATATATCAAATAAATTATACATATATAAATAGATAATGACCCCCTATTTACCATGGACCCTGGACGGACGCCACTCCCGTCTGCCCGTGCCCAGGGCCGGCCCTGCTCTTAATGGCCACTTCTTCGCACTAATAATCGTTCTATTTTTATTTTCATGTACTTTTTGTTTTACAGTATTAGCACAATACAAGCCAATAAATAAATATATCATAATACCTGCATATACCTTATAATAAAAATGACTACATAAAATTACATTTTTCACCCTTCAAAGAATGATTTGTATTATTTTTATTTGTTTAAACCTGTAATTTCTATCTAAAGTTTGTCTAAAACTGTAATTTAACTTGGTCCATTGTCCTTTTCCAAATTCAGTTTTTTGCCACCTATATATACCTTGTATTAAGAATGGCTAAGTAAAATTACATTTTGATCCTTCAAAGTATGATTTTGTATTGTTTTTATTTGTTTAAACTTGTAATTTCTACCTAAAGTTATAATTGATTTATCATTTTTGTGTTGGTGTTGTGACCTTTTAATATTATGTATAGGACATGGCTATAAATGAATTTTGGAAGAACCGAGAGACACTATGGTTAAAAACCGTTGATCGATTGGGTATAAAAAGCGGGCGATTTAATTTCGATGATTATATCTCAGTTTCATAATTGACTCATTGATGGTAAATTCTTCTTTCAGTAATTTTTCACCTATCTAATTTCGTTTTGTTTTTTCTGCCTCAACAAAATTCAAGAATTTCACATCAAAAGATGAACACACTATTGGTTTAGAATTTCTCAAGGTTATGTTGTTTTAGATTAGTTATTTTGAATTATTTTATGAGATTCTATTGAAAGCTTTTTAGTTTGTTGATAAAAAAATATTTTGGTTTATTGATTAATGCTTGAATTATTGTAAGCTTGGTGTTATGGAAATGCATATGAATTCTTCGAGAAAATGTTTTGTGGTTGTGCAATTGGATTATGACCTTGGGTGGAAAAATTGAAGTAATTTTTCAAAAATCCGACAATTGTGTTGTCCGATTGAGATTCTGTAGATCCATAGCCTTGTGGATGGTCAACATTTGTTGTTCAGTAAATGAAGATTATGTTGTACATATGTAAGATTACATTTTGATTTTTTTTCATCATATATCTTAGTTTTCATAATATGGAGAATATTAATTCTTTTTAATATAGAAAATTACATGTTATAAAAATATATGAACGGATCTAAAAGTTTTATTAATGAAATCGAGTAAAAACAAAAGTATTGCACTAGTTTTGGTTAGACTCAACTCCTAACCAACTCGAACGATAAATCGACACACAAAAAACACCTAATTAGCGACTACACACTTATAATCGGCCCGAAACAAACACGAGTCACACAAATTGAACCCCTTTAAGAACATACAAGACAAAATAAAACAAATACAAATGCCTAAATATTGAAGAGCCCTTTGCGGCTACGAACAACAAAAACAAGGGGTAAGAAACGCACCACAGGAACTCCACAAATTACAGGAGGAAGGCGCCGCCGTGAACCACCGGAAAAAGTCGCCAGAAAGGATGAACAAAGAGGTCGAGAGAGAGAGAGGGGCTAGAGATTTGATGAGTTAGAGCGAGAGAGTGAATGAGGGTTGTGCCCTCTCTCTCTATCTATATATACTCAGGGTCAAAGAAAGGCAACGGTCAGGATTTGAGACCTAGATCGAATGGTCAGGGATGCGCCTCACAGAAAGACGCGGATCCAGTGGCGGGTCGGGTCAAGCGACCGGGTAAGTATAAAGTATGTGAGCACAGGGTCAAGTAGGGACACGGGTCTCGGGTCACAACAGAGAGAGCGGTTCAGGCTAAGCGGGTCACGGCGCGGGTCGGCGGGTGTGGGTCGCAGCCATGGCCAAGGTTTAAGTGAGCTGCATAATTAAGTTGTATGTGCCTTATTTTTTTGGTGGATCTAATTGGATTAAAAAATCTAATATTATATATATCAATAATTCAATATAATATAATACAAATATAACAATTTTATAAAATAAACTATATATTATTTTTTTATGCGGTCGTAACGTACCACTAAAGACACTAGTATAAAGATATATGATGAAAAAAAAAATCAAAAGATAATCTTACATCTGTACAATATAATCTTCATTTACTGAACAACTAATGTTGACCATCTACAAGGCTTTGAATCTACAGAATCTCAATCAGACAACACAATTGTCGGATTTTCGAAGAAATACTTCAATTCTTCCGCCCAAGATCATAATCCAATTGCACAACCACATAAGCATTTTCTCGAAGAAGAATTCATCTGCATTTCCATAACACCAAGCTTACAATAATTCAAGCATTAATCAATAAACCACAATGTTTTTTTTATCAACAAACTAAACAGCTTTCAATAGAATCTCATAAAACAATTCAAAATAACTAATCTAAAACAACATAACCTTGCGAAATTCTAAACCAATAGTGTGATCACATTTTGATGTGAAATTCTTAAATTTTGGTGAGGCAGAAAAAACTCAACGAAATTAGATAGGTGAAAAATTTGTGAAAGAAAAAATTATCATCAATGGGTCAATTATGAAACTGAGATATATTTATCGAAATTAAATCGTCCGATTTTTACCCAGTCGGTCAACGATTTTAAACCATAGTGTCTCTCGGTTCTTCCAAAATTCATTTATAGCCATGCCCTATAAATAATATTAAAAGGCCATAACACCAACACAAAAATGATGAATCAATTATAACTTTAGGTAGAAATTACAAGTTTAAACAAATAAAAATAATACAAACCATTCTTTGAAGGGTGAAAAATGTAATTTTATGTAGCCATTTTTACTGCAAGGTATATGTAGGTATTAGGATATATAAAAGAAAAAGCACAAATCAAAACCACAACACTACCAAACGATGGATAAAGAAAAAAACGAGAATATTTATCGATCGACATAATTTAGATTTTATGATTAAGGGGAACAATTAACAAGACATGAATGACGTGTGTAATGTAATTTTATACCGATAACTTTATTTAATTTTTTTTTAAAAGAAAAAAAAATCGAATAAAAACAAAAGAAAGAAACTAAAACTAAAGGACTAAAACAAACACACACACATTGAATTAACAAAATGATTTGAGGATTAAGCTCCTTATTTTATATTTACATCGTTACTTTTACATCAAAATATAAGGACAAAAATATCGTTACATTACTTTTAACTATCAACTATAATTAAAATATTATTATTTCTTAAACACGACACAAAAATAAATATTTATTTTTGTATGAACAGTAGGAGTATTAGATTATTATTTTATATATTTTTTTTAATTAAAGATATTTATATAGATATTTTTTTTATTTATTCTCAATATTTATAAAATAAGATAAAAATAAGTATAATAATTAAAATTTAATATAATAATTTCATACATAACACACGGATTTACGCACTAATTAAATTATATATATATATATATATATATGATATCTTCATAAGAGGGGGAGGGTAAATTTATGATCAATTATGAATTCAAAATTTGCTCACACGTTGGAGTGAGGGCTTGTGTAGCTGTCTTTCCACGTCATAGTATTAAAAACAAACATAGTTTTAAAGTGCTACGTCGAATCGAATTTTTAGTGTTTATACTCGTCATTAACCTTTGCGAACAAGATTTGTGTTCATTCGTTAAGTTTTCAAACTCGTTCTTTGTGTTCGAGTCCAGTTTGTTAAAATTTTTATTGTTTGAACTCGTGTTCGTATTCGATTCGTTTAGATTCGATTAAGCTCGTTTGTCTATTTTTTTAATTTATATATAATTTTTTTAAAAAAAATTAAAATTATTTTATTTATTTATTTATTTATTTATAAATTATAATTTTATATGTATATATAATATTTATAATAAATATTGCGAACAGAGCTCGGACTTATTTGTTAACTAAACGAGTTGTTTATGTTGTTCGACTCGACTCGTTAATATTCGCGAACGAATTTTAACCGAATCGAATCAAGCCGAACCCATCCGAGTTCACAAACGGATCAGTTCATTTAACCGTTCTAAATATAGTACCGATTCAATAATCACTAATGATGCACTAATTAGCCCATGAATATTATTATTATTACTTGCTGGAAGATTAAGGGTTTGTTCAGAGAGAAGTTTTTGGAAATTTAAAAGTTTAGAAAAAGTAAAAAATTAGTATTTGATTTGATATTTTGTAAGAGAAAAAATATATTTAATGAGATATTTTTTGAAAAATATATAATATTAAATAAGTGAAAATGTGTTTGGGTAAACAGAGCCTAATTAACTTGTCCGAAAATAACAGTGACACAACTTGGGGTGTGTTTGTTTGGGGGATTGGATTAGATTTCCACTATTCATCCTATTTTTTTTTCAATAAAACATCAAATCAAACACTTACTTTTCATTTTTTATATTATACTAAAAATTAATTTTGCATTCAAAACATCACATCAACACATCGTACAACTATTCAAATTCAAAATTTTTATTGTTGAAATCCCAGTTCAAAATCCAAATCCTTACAAACACACCCCACATTAATTTATACAAAATAACATATAATAATTCCAACAATGACTAGTTTGGTGTGTCGGCAATGCAAATATCATCAAATTAAAATACCCGCTCATTTGCTATATTCATAAATAAATAAATCAATTATTCAAGTTGACGATCAAATTAACAATGATGAGATGAGATGAGATGAGATGACACCTTATTTGAAAATTCAGCCTCACCGTATTTACAAAATTTAATTTGAATTTATATTTAATCGAAGCCGTTGAAAAATCCACGTCACGGGAAGGTCGTTGATAAAGAGCATGGAATCCTTCCACTGGATTTGAGGAGGCTTGTTTTGAGTCCGTATTCGGTATTTCCGATTGATGTTTTTGACTGACTGATCCACGCCTTTTCAATGGCGGTTTCGGTGAGAATATGAGCAGAGCAGAGCTGCAGGAAGGCTGCGGAATTGAGCTGTGTGCAGACGGAGGAGAAACATGGCGAAATCAGCTGTATCGTGCTTGAGGATAATCGCCTGCGGCAGCGATTCCGTCAACGACGATCGTGAATCGCCGCCTGAGGTATGTATTTGGATGTACGATGCGTTTCATATATATCTCTCTCTCTCTAGACTCTACACACTCACACTACTGTTTGATCTATGCAGTATATTGTGTAGAATCGGTTATTTACAATTGTGTTGTTTTTTAGGGGGTGATTGAGTAAGTTCGTGCTATCTTATTTGAATATGCATTTTTTCTAGGAGACTTACGCATCTGGTTATTTGGATATTGTTTTAAGTTGATTTGGTTTCAAATAATTTGCTGCCTTTTTTGAATCGTATGGTAAAATTATAATGGTTTGTTTGATCATTTAGCTGTTTGAGCAGAGATCTACGGCAAACTTTGTAGAAATGCTATTAGGTGTGGACGTTGGTAAGATATTTGGATTCTTCTAGCAGTGGTTGTAAAGTTTGGCATATGGTTCCATGCAATTTTTGGTAGTGGTTATGCAATAGCCAACATAGTTTCCAAATTCTTGAACAAATGTTGAAGACAACAGTCCTAAGAATTTTGTAAACAATATCAAGAAACAAAAAAATGGATAGTATAGAGAAACGCAAGGGATTTTAAGTGGAAAAATTCAAATTTGGGGGAAAAAGTAGTTAGAACACAAGGAAGTTGCCTAAAGAGAAAAACAAGAGAGAGTGCTTGTAATATATATATATAATCCTTCCGTCTCTTATCTATCTATCCATTCAATTGTTTTTTACACGGAGTTTTAGGAATATTGGTATAATATGGGAGTGTAGTATTTAAAGTAGAAAAGACTAAAATAACATTATTAGTATTGTGTGATATAAAGACATTTGTCTAATATATTGTAAATTGTAAGAGTATTTTTTTAATGTCAATATAAAGTACAATTACTAAAAAAGAAATTGATACAGACAGACCAAAATAGAAAAATTGAAAGATTGTTAAGGGACGTTGATAATATTATACAGTGCAACATAGAAGCTCTAACTTAGAGTAACCAAGTCGAAAAAAGGAAACAACCCAATTAATGTTATGAGAATTCATATGTAACAGCTTTCTACTTCCATAAACATTCCCTTAAATGAGGACCACAAAGTACCTTAAATTAATAAAGTTACTGTTGAATTCATATTTTTCCATGTTAATGCAATGCAGCAGTTAGCTATTGCAACTGCAACAAGAATCAATGTCTGCAAAACTGTGCTAGTTTAGTTATTTACTCACTTTGGGGGATATTTCTTTCATTTCATTCATTTCATTTCTATTCTTTCTGAAATCATTTGTAGATCAAGTCTTCTTCAAGTGGCCGCCGTGGATGGAGTTTTCGGAAGAGATCTGCTCGGCACAGAGTGTTGAACAACTCTGTGGTATCCGAAATACCTTCTTTCGAAAATAAAGAACACCATGAATCCACTGCTCCCAACTTCCAGGTGCAGCCTAATTCGACATTGCTGGATAATACATCTGCAGTTCAAGGGACACATGAGATGAATGAGTTGCAACCTAAAACAGTTGTAACAACAGTTGACGGCGACAGTATTATCGTAATTCAAACAGCTATTAGGGGATATCTGGTGAGTTTTTATCGTACATACCATGTTAGATACAATTCCTTCTTTCAGGTTAACTAGTTGCACTTACAGCAGTCAAAATGTATCTTATCAGGCCCAACAAGTTCTATTGAAGCAGAAGCATGCCATTAAATTGCAAGCTGTTGTTCGAGGACATTTAGTTCGAAGACATGCTGTTGGAACTCTTCGATGCATTCAAGCCATTAGCAGAATGCAAACTCTTGTAAGACTGCGTTGGAGCCGTCTCCTTGAAGAAGAATCAAGCACTTCTGAGCATCAGAATGGAGACAGTGGACAAAATTCTCTCAACCCAGTGATCTTGGTAACATTTTAATCAAATTTCAAGTTGTGTTTGTTAACAGGATTTTTCACTTCTGAGTCTTGTCACACTATGTTTTTAGGATGAGCAGCCACTAAAAATGATCATGAATTTTCACCAAGTGATCAAAGAAACCCAAAATTTTCTTTCAAGGTGTAGGCTTTTATATCGGTGTTAAAATTTCTTAGATTTGTACCGTAGGCCTTAACTGATAATAGAATAGTAGAATATACATTTTTGGTTTTCCTCAAGCGAGTCCATATAATAGATTTTTCGAGTAAATTCGTGTTCCATAGAATTTAAGGTGTACCATTTTGTTGATGTTTGTGTTTGTGCTCGCTTTCTAAAACTTATCTGCCTTCGGAAAGATCATTTTCAGCTCAAGTTTAGGGATGATAATGGGTAGGGTAGATCATATAGTTCAAATTATTTAGGTTTTGAGTCGGGTCTTTAATAAATCTTTTTGGGTTGGATCGGATCAGAGTTTAATATCAGACCCTATACAATCTGAATACGAATCCGGATCAAATTAATCAAAATAAAAAATTTTATTATTTTTTTGCTTTTAATATCTATTTCAGTTTTCTTTTAACTTTGGTGGTGTCGGAAGCGGCAGAGGATATATTGGTGAAGATTTATATTTGTTGTATATATTTTTAGTTTATTTTTTAAAATAAATAAATATTTTTTTAAGTAGGTCCGTCGAATTAAACTTGTATTGAAATTTTTTTAATTTGACGGGTCTGACGGTCCGGCAGATCTAGCGAGTACATCACGAGTAGGATCGAGTACATACAAATCCAAGTATATTAGAGTCTGAGTAAGATTTTAGATCCAACAATATACATACGGGTAGGGTCCTAGACTCACCTGTACCCGACCCATTGTCATCCCCGCTTAACTTATACTATCTTATCTTATTTATGCTCTTAACTTATAGTATCTTATCTTATTTCAGAAGAGCAGAGGAACAGCAGAGGCAAATTCAATGTGTACTACTAATGATGATAATAATAATACTTCCATTGAGAAGATACTTAGCAATAAATTTGCTCGTCAGGTAAATAAATGCATACCAGCACTATATATATATATATATGTTTGATATTCTGATCTCTTTTTCATGTTACATAGCTGAGCAAAAGCATCTAAGTCCTGACTATGTATAATTGATTGTGATTTAAGCTTATGGAATCAACACCAAGGACTCAATCTCTAGGAATTAGATGTGACCCTTTGAAATCTGACACTGCCTGGAAATGGCTTGAGAGATGGATGTCGGTTTCGTCGAAGGTTGCCGGTGAACCACCACCGGAGACTGAAGACTCCGAAGGCAGTGGGAGAATCTCAGGTCAATCCGAACATAATGATTCAGACAAGTTTGAGCTACGGTCATCGGTTATGAGCTCGTTAAGTCACCCGAAGCTGCCAATAATTGATGAATCTGCTGGATATGATATAAAGCAGCAGCCTGATCCTACTGGGATGAAAGAAAAGGTTCTGGTATCAGATGTCGACACAGAAACTCTCCCGGAAAATGCGGCTGAGCAGGAATGCAGACCTGATCGGGGACATCTTGTCGCCGAGCTGCCTGAAACTGAGAAATTTTCACTGCAAGGAAGCAGCCCCACTTCTTGTGCCGCTCCATCGTCAAAACATGACGAACTGAGTTCAGACACAACATCTTCGAATAAGATAGCTCCTGCTTCAAATAATTCAGCTATTCAAGTTTCTCGACCTGAATGTGGCACCGAACTTTCCATTTCTTCTACTCTCGACTCAACAGATGTACCGAAGAGTGGAGCCATTGCCCTCCCACAGGAATCTGAAGTTTTAGATACGACAGACCATCCCGGAGGCAGAGGCCGTTCAGGGCATGTAATCGATGATAGTAATTCCTACACATTAGGAACTGAATTATCGTATCCCTCCACGAATGAGTTGGAGAGCCACAAAGGCACCGAGTCAGTCTCAGGTGAATGTACTAACCCTTTAGTGGCTGCAGACTCACCACAGTTCAAAAAGCTCGAATCAGATCAACACAAGCTTCATGAGAATACCAAATCCGATGTACGCCCCTCAGTGCACAAGTCATCACCTGAAACTTCTCCAATTAGCCTTAAAAGAGTCACGGAATCTCCGGTAACACCTTCTGGACAGATGTCACCTGAACCTGAGAAAAGCACGGGCAGCAGCAATAAGCAAGAGGCCAAACACAGGAACACCAGAGGCGCAATACCAAAGGATCGTAAAACGGGAATGAGGCGCAACTCCTTTGGTTCAGCAATGCCTGCTCGTGATGAGCATCAGGACCGGAGACACAGCAGCGGCAGTATTTCTCGACCAAGTTATATGCAGGCAACTGAATCAGCAAGAGCTAAAGCAATAGCTAATGGATCTCCAAGATCAAGTCCGGATGTGCAACACAACAATATCCACATTAAAAGTAGGAGTTCGCCGCCCAGTACAAATGAGAAACAAGGTTCTCCTAATGTCCGGCGTTCTCTATCTCTTGCCCAGCAGAATTCAAAAGCGATTGGAGCGCAATCTCCTCAAGGTACCGATATCTAAACTATTTCTTGCTATTTTCAGATGTGCGTTGATTGTTGTTCTTGGCTATTTACACCTTTACCAAGCATGATTTCCTTGACATGGTACGCTAAGGCTGGATAATTAAGAAATTTAATTCATAACAGAGGCAAGAACTTGCATAAGCTACACAATACAATTTCTGCATTTAAAATCAACAACTGTCCGCATGTGTGTTATGTGTCCTTATATCTACTTATTTATGTGTTGGATTTTAACTTGATTTAGAGAGGAAGTGGCGGGTATGAAAACCGAGTCTCACAATCAAAACTGATGACACTGAAGGGGTTCTAGATGGATATTTGGCTCTCTCGACTTCTTTTATGATTTGTGTTGTGCATTGTTTCCATGCAGCCTATGCATCATCTACAGCATTCTTTTTTTCTTCATGTAAAGACAATAAGATTGCATGTAAACTACCACATTGTTAATTCTTGCATTTTCGTCTCATCTAATCTGTCTTGATCTTTTAGCACTTGACTTTAGATCTCTATTCTATTTATTAACATAAATGCTACATTATCTATACAAGAAAAGAGGGAACAAATCAAAATTTATACAAGATCTCGTATAATATCAATATTCCTCTGTATAGTGTAGGTAGAGTGTTTTTATTCTGATGAAATACAATAACAGGCAGGCATTCACTAACCATCAAGATTGTAGCCCTTTATTAGAAACAGACAACAGTAATATTAAGTGCTCCAAAATAAACACACAAACTGAGACTTGAGGTTCTGTTTCGTACCTTCGAAATCTGATATACAGAAACAAGGCTGTTGTAGTAGCTACTGTCATTGAGAATCATCGATCTTCTCGCCGGACTGTGTTTGGATTAGACATCAAGTCCATCATCATCTTTTCTGGCGAGTCTTCCCAATTGGCAAATGTTTTCAGGTCAACCTCCACAATACAGTAGATGAAAAATGAGCCAAGGAAGTGACATGAATGTTATGTTAATAGATGAAGTTAAAACAGAGCCTTGGGTGACGTTTCGGCTACCTTCCGCCTCTGCTCGGTGAAAAGTTCTTCCCGCTTTTTATAAGCATCTTGGAATTTTCGAGCAGCCCGGCCCCCTAATCCCCATGCCTCTACTTCTAACACCAAGGCTTCAGTAGGCAAGAACCCCTGTAATCACAAGTTCAAATAAGAGAAATGGAAAACTCAAAAACGGGTATTACGACATAAAAGCTTAAAGAGGATGCAGATTTGAAGAAATTCAACACTATGTGGTGCCATATGTGCCAATGGGTTTGGCTTGGCACTTTTCTCTATCGAAACAGAAGCTCTGTATTCTCACTCAATGGAATATTAGTCTATATACCTGATTTGGGAAAAGGGCTCCATGTTGATATGTTTTATCAACCGCATGATGCCGTACGGTAACTCTAGCAAAATCCTCATCGATAAATATGCGTTCATTTCCAGTAGATCCACCAAATGCAATTCCCACTGGTTTTGGGTGAGGTTCATACACTCTACCAGTTGTATGCAAATGGCTATAGACAAAGTTCTTCTCCCTTCCTGCAAAACAGTAGATGGCCCATTAGCTTAAATACGACAATCAAAAGTTCTAATCAAAGAGAAGTAAATTTCTCGACTCACCAAAAGATAAATATGCATGAAACACCGGAGTTAATGCGTAGAGACTGCCGGATGTTCCATAAAACATCTCCTTACTTTCAAAACCCTGATGAGTGAGTGCACCAATGACCCATCTTCTTCCATCGTTTAACTCCTTGCAGGCTGAGATAAGTAATAGTAAAGGACCATTGTAGCCTTCAATATTCGACCAAAATCGGTTGATACCTTTCCCATGAACTGATGACCTGCATGTCGGCATAAGACACAAGGTGTTAAAAGAGAAATCCATTCCCATTTGAAACTTTTCTATAAAAATTGAGAAATGCATTGATTCTGCATCAACTAACCTGTAAAGTATGTTCTCATTCACTTCATCAATGTCACTTGGGAAGCAAATCTTTGACATCTCTTCATGTATGTTACCTCTTAGGGTAAGAGAGATGGCCCAGGCCATTCCACTAGTCAAAAGTTTACTTTCTGAAACTGATGATAAGGATCTTTCCTCAGAAGACGAGCACGATTGCTCTGATATTTCCTGCCATCAATTGAAATAAAAATAATGTTTGTCAAATGCAAGCAGTAGGATTCTTAAGAGACGGAGTTACAGAAAGATTGTCATTTACCGTTCAACAGATCAATAACAACTGCTAGAACAAAACTATCAGACATTCTAATCTGGACAAGATCAAAATATAATATTATCCATAGATTAAACAAACTTAAGAATTAGTGTACCTATAGCAACAAGAAGAATGACAATGTGCATTCTATCCGATGTTGTTTTAAGCTTACAACATCGCATTAGTAAATCTAATGCAGCATTTGATTCAGTATAGCAATGAACAGAAAATGCCTTTACCCCAGTTCAAATATGGTACATAGTTAAAAACATAAAATCTCATAAACCCTTTTTGTAGCTCATGTATATCTCTATTTTCCCCGGAAGTACAAAAGTTGTGCTACCAACAAGGCTAAGGTAAGAAAAGAACAAAAAAACTTGTAGTTGCATTAGTAACTGCAGTTTCAAAAGTGAGAATAACATTGAGGTTTAAAGATTTAAGACACATGTACGGCGTATAGTCTCCAATTCCTACTTACTGCCATTAAAACATTCGACAAAATTATCAGCACAATTCAAGAAGTAATTAATTCACTACCTCATGAGCTGCAGAGTAGCAAAGTCTTGTATGGACGAATTCTGTCAAACAATCTGCAAGGTTTGGTACTGTCTTCAATGCCCACATATGACATTTCGGAGCATGAAGTTGAACATCCAATTTAGAAACAGAAGAATCCCAAAAGTCCAATTTATTGCCCTCTTCCACACATGATTCAATAGCTGATAATACAAGATGAGAAACATCCGGAACACGGCATTCCCTTCCACTCTTCTGCATATTCGATCTCAATGCTCTAGAATCCCACGAAATAATCCAACTAATCCAAAGAAGCATAACAACATCATGCGTAGAAAACAAACCACTTATCTTACAATCCCCATCATACACCTCGAATTTCAAACCAACCGAAATCCCAGCCTTCGAACATGTCACAGTAAACACTTGCAGTAAATTATTGAGTAATGCCGAACCAGCCGCCCTGGCGCAACACTTGGTGTATCCCCTCAAGAATTCAATCCAACTTACTCCATCCTTATCGGCCACAAAAAACAAGTCTACTATCGTAGATCCGAAATGAGTAAATAGTAGAGGGAATTCCTCAAACATCACATCTTGCTCAAACTTCAACCTCTCGAAAGTCAATTCAAAACATTTCTGCAAACGGTATACCGAGTAGAATGATCAGATTAAAACTTGACAAACAATCCTTCTTGTTTTAAACAAACACCAAATGGAATCATATGTACAGAATATTTTCCATTTATTTCTCAACAAAGAACAATCAAACACTATAACATTTACAAAAAATGATTCAACTGAATGAGAGATCAAACAGAGGTTTCATAAAAGTTTTCAACACACCATAGATCATCCACACAAGCACCTAAACCTAATAATCCAGAGAGCATTAATCAAAAAGAAACAGCAAAAAGCTTGCACTAATCCAAATCATCACAGAGCGTCATAATCGCGTTCTCTTTCAACTCATAGAAAAAAAATAATAATAATAATTACAACAACAAAAAATCAAAGCGATTTCGTTTCCATTTCCTGGAATCCGATTCCGAGCACATGATTTCCTTTCCCTGAAGTACCTGAAGAGACTGTATGGGAATCGATTTAGTTTGTGGATCAGACAGAACAGAAAACGCCTTTTCGAGTGAAGGAAGGGCTCCAGTCGACGCAGCCAGCGATTGTACTTCACGCAGCTCCGGTGATACCTCCTCCTCCCTCGACGATGACTGCCCCATCCTCCAGACTCCTCCTTCCAACTCTTCTATGCTCTGCACTTTCTTCTTCCGAACAATAACGATCCTTCCGGAATCTCAACGATGGAGGCAATCAACGGATTTTACCGCGACAATATATAGAGAGATTTTAAGATCACGAAAGACACCTGTCACCAATCGTCTTCGGCTTTACGTCATTTGAGCTTCAAGCGATGGGCCTATTGCTTTTGCTATTGGGCTGTATTAATGGGCTTATTGGGCCAATTGATTTTGTATTGGGCTGCTTAATTATGGGCTTAGTTGGTGTGTCTTGTTATTGCTAGGGCCTTCACAATGGTAAATTAAGGGTAAATTATTTGATGAATTTAAAGTATTTTATTTATTGTGTTAATATAAAATTTGAATGAAATATCATTTTTATCCAAAATTTATTTATTTATTTTATTCAAAAAAATTATTTAAGATATCGTATTTCTTTTATTTTTATAAAATTTACATTATTGAGTTCATATTTACAATCAAATATTAGTTTTGGATCAAAATGATATTTCGTACAAACTTTATATTAACATTTCACACAATAAATAAAATAGATGGTATTTTATATATTTTTATTAAAATACAATAGAGTGTTATATAATTTACTCATTATTAGAGTATTTTATTCGAAAAAAAAGAGTATTTAAATATGATGTTTTATATGAAAAAAAATTAGTACTCCTTCCGTCTAATTTCTATTGTCCTAAAGTATATTTGCACGGTTTTTTAAGTGATTGTCTTTTTGTTATGATTTGACAAATTTGCCCTTAATCGTATGGTAGAGATTAAAAGTAATAAATGAACGAAGGGTAAAAATGTAAAATTTGTGTTTAAAAAAAAAATAAAACAATAGTTGTTGAACGTCCCAAATAAAAAAATAGGACATTAATTTATGGACGGAATGATCATATTTTCACTCAAAATAATGAACTTTTATATAGAAAATTAATTAAAATAACATAACCTTCTAAAATAATATAAGCTTCCCCTTATTTTAAATTAAAATACTTCATATGTCTACCTAGTCTTTAATTTTGGTACATAGTTAAAAAAAAAAAGTTATATTTAAATATTAGTTGAAGCGTATTTTTAATTTATAAATATTTTTACCCTTTATTTTAATTTAGTACAGTGGTGAGAGTCATATTGACTAATTAAAAAAGAAATATATGTTATGTTTGAGAGCAACTACAGTGGTGAAATTAAAATTCAAATTTTGATGAACAATACACAATGTGCTAATAAACAATACACGATATTATTATGATAATACAATATATCATTTATAATAGGGTAAATTATATAACATTTTCTTATGTTTTAATAAAAATGCATCAAACACTTTGTATTTTATTTATTGTGTGAAACCCCTTATCTCAATGTAAAGTGTGTACGAAACACAATATTTATCCAAAACTAATTTTTTGTTCTAAATAAAGACTCAAATTACACAAGTTTTATACAAATAAACATTGTAAAATTTTAAATATTTTTTTTAAATAAATAAATAATTGATCAATCACTTATTTTTATAATTTTTGTAAAAAATCATTTAACAATTTGTCTTCAAAAAACTATAAAATAAAGGATTAATCAATTATTTATCTATTTATTTTATTAAAAAAAATATTTAAGATATTTTACTTTTTTTATTTGTATAAAACTTATATAATTTAGGTCTTTATTTAGAACCAAACGTCAGTTTTGAACAAAAAAGGTGTTTCGTGCAAATTTTACATTAACACAAGGAAGTTACATGCAATAAATAAAATACAGAGTGTTTTGTGCAATCTTACGTGTCAGCACCTATACTACATACAAACAACACATGTTCTTAATAAAGGCGTGTGCTGTTTGTTCAGAATTATACATGTGTTGTATAAGAGTATGCTATATGCTAAAATCAACAATTGTGTATGTTATATGTGACTATAGCATGTGCTATTGATTTGTGTATTATATTTGTATTATATTAATATAAGAGGTGTGTTGTCATAAATAATACAGTGTGCTGTTTGTTATTATATGGTGTGTTGTTAATTTATATGTTGTATTTATATTATATTAATATAAGAGATATGCTTACTGAAGTAATACATTGTGTTATTTGCTATTATACTATAACTGCTGTCAATATATATATACATACAACATATGAACTAACAAAATATGATATAGTCTCACACAACAAATGCAACAATTGATTTTAATACATGACATACTCATATACAACACACGTTATAATTATAAATAAACAACACATTCTTTATTACAATAAAAATACGTGTTATTTCTATATGTTACGTGCGTTCATCTGAAAAATCAATACAGTTCAAATTAACCTCCTAACCCTTCCCTTTATGTTTGGGTACACTAAAATTACAAAAATATACTACATTCGTCATAATTCAAAGTATCAATTTTACCATTTTTGTCTATCATATTTCAAAGTATATATATTTTATATTTTAGAAAAAATAATCATATATTAATATCAAAATACCCTTAATTTTTATCTAAATTACAAATATAGTATTATACATAGGTATGTCAAATTGACATGGGGCGGGTTAGCCCCGGACCCGGTCTTAATGGGGTGGGTTCGGGTCTAAAAAATTTGGTTCGGGACGGGTCGTGGATTTTGAGTTTTAGACTCGGCCGGGTTCGGGGCGGGTTACGGGTTTACTATAACCCGCTCCACCCCGGACCCGGACCGAATCAAAATATTTTAATAATTATTATAATTTATTTATATTTTTATACAATATATATTATATTATTTTAAAAAATATATATATAAAATAGAACTTTAATTCTAAACCAAATTTATCTTCGCATTTGTTTCTCCTACAATTCTCTTTATAATCGCGACTATTGCTGACCACATCACTACAGACTATCGTCAACATTTTATTGTTCTTTTTTTGGTACGATGACGCATATTTTTTTTAGTATTAAATTATTTTTAAAAAAATTATTTTATTCTTTTTTTAAAAGAAAAAAAAACGGGTTTGTCGGGTTGGCCCTGAACCCATAGGATTCGTAGCGGGACGGGGCGAGTCTTGGGTCCTAATATTTTTTAGCGGGGTGGGTCCCGAGGCCTGCAAAATCCGTCTCGAACCCGCCCCGTTAACATCCTTAATTATATATACAATTACTTTATACATAAAGTCAAATGACAAAAATATCAAAAATTCATATACACTTCCACTAACTAATAAAATATTATTATTTTTTAATATATTACAAAACCTTAAAAAGTCCATTTTATTTAGAACGGAGAGAATATATATTTTAAATGGACAACTATAAAACGACAATAGCATATATTTAATATAATATAAATATAATATATAAACTAGTATGAACAAGATAAATAGCATAATATTGATTTGCGCCAATTTTAACAAGAAAGTAGTAAATAAAAATATTTTTATTCAAATATTATACTTCTTCCGTCGTTCAAATTTATGTTCACTTTTCTTTTTGAATTGTGATTGAAAAATATTCTCGTTACTTTTTTAAGTAAAAAATTATTAAATTTTTGTACATTTTTTACCATAAAAGGAAAAAGTAACCATTATTACTTACTTTAATTAAATTCGTGCCCGATCAAATGAACACACATTTGCACGACGGAATTAGTAGAATATATGGCATACCTACTCAAGACATTAAATTTTATCTTAATTTAGACTTTTATCATTTTCAAATTCAATCCTAATAACAAACCTGGAAATAAATAAATAAATGAACATTATTATTATTATTATTATTATTATTATTATTATTTATGATGTGAAAACTGGCGGCTGCTATCTAAATTTCTTACTGATTAATATTATTCTTATTATTCCCTTCACTTTTGTCTTCTTTTGAGGTTTAATTAGGACAACCCTTCAAAGAGTATCGACTTTGTGTGAGAGAGAGAAAGAAAGGTGAGAGAGAGAGAGGGTTGGAAAATGATTGGGTGGATTCTCCCTGCCATGTGCACCCTTCAGATTTTATATTAACAAACGGACTACAGAAAGTGTTCACTCTACAATTTTTGTTTTTTTATCCCGATGATAATATAAAAAAGGATTACTATTTTATATTAATATTTAATTTTTATGAATAAATAAAATATATATTGTATATTTTATTTTTTATAATATTTATTGAAAATTATGTAATAAAAGAATATGACAATTATTTATATTTTTTCTATAGTTTTAAAATTTAAGGTAAATTTCTTTTTACTTTAAAAATTATATGATCCTTTTTATATTTTAAAAAAGATCGCATGAAATTTCTCACCATATAAAACATGTAAATGAAATATTATTTTAAAAATTATAAAGTGATATTTTATACAACGTTTTTTAAAATATAAGAGACATTATACAACCTTTAAAGTACACAGAGGATTCAGGTTGATTTTATAAGCAATTTTATCAAATAATATTAGTTGAACACACCCTAAGTTGCGGCAAATAATCTAAGGGTGTGTTTGTTTGGAGGATTCTCTCTCAAATACACTATTCATTCCATTTTTTTCCCCAAAATCATCAAATCAAATACTTATTTTCTATTTTTTATATTATAGTAAAAATTAATTTTACATTCAAAACATCACATCAACATCTATTTATATCACATCAGTACAACTATTCAAACTCAAAATTTTTACTATTCAAATTCCAACTCAAAATTCAAACCCCCAAACAAACACACAGGGTAATCATAGTTTGGTCTTTTCTACAAAACTAAATACGATTGATCCATTTGAATCGAACCGAGTTTATTTATATTATACTTAAAATTTTGTATGGATAGTTATATGTTTATATTATATAATTAAATAAATATTATTACATCTGTTCCATAAGAAAGATATTATTTTTATTTTTGTCCGTTTCAAAACAAGGTTACTATTTCCTAATTTAGTAACTGTACTACTTACCTAATACAATAAATACTCTTATAATTTACAATATATTACACAAATATCATCACTTTTGTAACACACAATACTAATAGGAGCATTTTTGTAGAAACATTTTCAATTAATTCAACATTTGAGTATATATTAATTTTGTTTCAGTTCAAATTATTTGTAAATAATACAAA